TGTCTTGCTCCTCTGCCTCAGGGCTTCCCAGCCTGCACCTCGGCCCGGCTGGCAGCACCGGTGGTGAAGGGCAGGCCTGGCTCTTGTCTGGAGTGATGCGGTCAGTCACCGTCATCTCCCAGTCTACACGCAGGCCTCCCAGTTCGCTGGCCCGGGGTCCTCCTGCACAGGAATGACCCGCAGGGTCTCCCGGGTCTGCCACAGTGAGACCTTGACCTGGGGCGGGTGAGCCTGTGGCGCCGGCGGCCCAGGCCGGCACCTGAGGAGTGCTCGCTGACAGAGGGGTGCTTCAGGAGCGGCAGCAGCACTGGGGTGTGGGGCGAGAGGGCCAACAAAAGCAGGGAGGCGAACATAAGCTGCACCCGATGTGGGGAAGGGTCCGCACGTCATACGCATGGATCACGGCCCAGAGATCGAAGGGCAGCGGAGGATGAAGAGGAGTGCGCCACATCAGACTCTGCAGACATCAACCTAGTCAGGGCCCTGGGGTCTCAAGTGTGACTCCCTTTTCCTCTCCCAGGATTGGGGTCTGCTTGGTCAGGGATGACTCAGTGAACTTCCCCGGTGTGGGTGGTACTGAATGCCTTAATTACTTTTGGGTAATCTCTTTTTAATTACTAGCCTCCCAAGCATCTCCAGAGGGATGGGATCACTAGAGCCATATTAATGAGCTCCAGGGCGATGCATTAATGATTCCTACTATTTGTTAAGACGCTTCCTTTCTCTGGAAGCCCCAGGATTAAACTTTGGAAGGCGTCGTGATGAGCAGTCCTGGTTCTCCTCTAACCTGACGTCCCAGTCACACTGCATGGCTGAGCACTCCACACTCTCCCAGCTCAGCCATCACCAACAATTCTCCTTCCTGGCCGGAAGGAGACAACTACAGAGGGCAGCAAAGGATGCAGGGCCTGGCGTCTGTCCCAGCCACTTCCTGGGCCGCCTATGGGCAGAGGTACACAGGGGAGAAGAAACCCACAGGTTCCCTCATTCGTGGTGACGGGGGGCGGGGGGGGGGGGAGCTGCTGTGGTCAGCCTCATAATACCCTCTCTGGACTTTCTCTGAGCCCTGTCCTGGGCCAGCTCTGGGTCAGCACAACTGAGCTGCTGAAGCCCCGCCCATGGCACAGCCCTGGCAGGGGCCTGGACCCCGCCCACCCCGGCATCCATCTCTGAGCACGTCTAACACCTGCCGCCTCATGCAGGATGTGGGGTCGAAGGTGACTCCTGGGAGGGGCGGGGGCGGTTGGAGGATCCACCCTGCTCACCCCGTGACTCCTGTGAAGATGGCACCCCCAGGACAGGACCCGACATAACTAGGTCTTCCCATGGCCTCTGCTGACAGCATCTCCTGCAGTCTCATCCCCATCCATCCCACGGTGGACAGCGTGAAGGACCGGATGCGCTTCTCCTGGTCCACACAGGGCTCCAGTCAACTGTCCCCTGTCATCCTTGCCCGTCACCTGCTATCACCGGCTCCCTCGCTTCCACATCTCCCCGCAGCCAGGCCTCCTGTGCTTGCCTGGGTCGGCGCAGGAAGCAAGATCTGATCCCCCCCCACAGCCCTTTCCCGTGTCCCCGGCGGAATGAGGCCCTGGAAGGCACAGGCCACACCTGTGTGCCCACAGCCAGGCCAGGCACCTGCCCGGCGCTGTGCTCCTGTGGGAAAGGCGCACAGATAAGGAGAGTGCTGGGGTCCGCACAGGGGAACCCACACACACGGGGCGGGGGGGGGGGAGGGAAAGGGGGACCCCGAGTGACTGGACTCGATTCCAGAGAAGTGCTGGTACTGCCATCATTCAATGCTCAGAAGTCCTTGTGTGACCAGAGATCCCAGGTAGAGGCCCCATCAGGCCCGCAATAGCTCCTGGAGGCCTTTGCTTCTGCCTCATCTGGGCAGACTTTATCCTGGCCATGCCCACAGGCAGGGGCCCCTGGGGAGCAGAAAGGAATCCCACATAAGGCACGGCAGCAACCACAGTGGCGGCTTGGGGAGCGGGCGGGTCTGTCACCATACTCCAATTGCATTTTTACATGGGCATATGTTGCTTTCATATAAATAAAAAATGCAGGTTAAAAAAAAAGACTTGTATAAGTCTAGAAAATCCCCAGCAGGCCTCAGGCTGCACAGTGAGTCCAGGCTTCCCGCTGCCCCTCCCCAGGGAGATCACACAGCAGGGATGGGAGGGAAGTCCATCAACGTGTCTACCTTGCCGCCTGGGGGGAATTTCAGGGCTCTTCAGTCACTGGCACATTCCAAAGAGTGTAATATGGACATGAGCAACTTCTGCAAATCTTAGCTCAAGGTGTGTGGATGGTCAGAGTTCAATTGTTTGTGATTTTTAAAATGGCAATTTCACGTGATTCAACCTACTAGAAAAATATCCTTCAAGACCAGTAAAAAAATTATCCCTATCCTTTGGCTTTGGTTATTTTATCTTTTGGATACTTTAAAATGTGAGGATGGAATTACAAAAGCACAGTGTTCAGGGACAGGTAAATTACAAGCAGAAGCTGGAAAAAGCATTGGAATTGTTAAAAAATAAGGCTGTGAAGGGAAAGCTGGGGAGATGCCAATGACTGCCACAGCATCCAGTGCCACTAGTGACATTAGCTAGAGTCCGTACCCAGTGCTAACCCACGCTACAAATGGGAGACACAGACTAAACAGAGCACAAGCACCAGCTCTGACTGGGGCCTGCGCTACCACTCCTTGCTCAGGCGGCCGTGTGGTTCTGTGACCATGTGGAGTCTGTCCTGTGTGGAACATGTCTGTCCCACGTGGAGTCTGTTTCTCCTGCCTTCCTCCCTGGGAATCCTGCAAGGGGCACATGTGCATGTGGGCCCTGAGCTCAGCGGGGTTTCGCCAAATGCAGATGTGACTGCTTTCTTTTCCAGCTTTTACTGTATTCCCCCCAAAGTTGCTCGTGGCAAATACATCTTTCTTGGAAAATCACAAAGGTATCATCAACAGTAGCAAAGGTCAGGGGTTGGGATTCCGCTCAGAGGAAGAGTGCCTGGAAAAGCCCTGAGTATGGTCCTCAGCACCATACATACACACACAGAAGTAGCAAAGGTCACTATAAATGAAGAGCAAAGACACAGCACAGACTTAAAGGCATTTGCTGCTCCCATGGTACCAAGCGACCAGAATCCCTACAGGTGATGTGCAAAGGATGACCCTGGATGCAGACAGGCTCTGAGAGGTTTTGCTCATACTAACCACCAGGACCGGTGAGGCCAATGTTAGTACAACTGATCACACCAGGGGCTGGCAGGGCTGGCTGGCCTGGCCGGGCTGGGGTGTACCAGGAACCCTGGGGCACAGCTGGGAGATGTAGGCAGCCTACAGCCAAACAGTGATTCTGTTGTGAGCAGTCCACGTGTGCTGGGTGTGGGCACGGCTGCTGAGGGTGGAGGAGACTGAGGGCAGTCTGCCCGTGCCCACCAGAGGACCCCACCGGAGGATGGTGATGGATGGGTACCATGTCCTTTCCAGATACATACATTTAATAGACTGTCTTCATAGCAGCTTATGAGAACCAACTAAAGCCAATAAGGCAAGCGCACAAGACAACACTCAACCAGTTGCATAAAGTTTAAAAACAAGTAACATGCTGGGAGCTGGTGGCTTACACCTGTAATTCTACCTACTCAGGAGGCTGAGATCTGAGGATCATGGTTCAACATCAGCCCTGGCAGGAAAGTCCATGAGATTCTTAACACCAATTAACCACAAAAACATCCAGAAGTGGAACTATGGCTCAAGTGATAGAGTGCTAGCCTACCATGGGCAGAGCCACGAAAGGCATGGGCAGCGCCTGGAGCTAGATGGTCACTGTGGCTACAATTCGGGTCCATGTGTGTTGCGAGATGAGAAACAAAAGGCACGTACAACTACTAACAAATTGGTAGTGGTCAATTCAAAGTCACTCATTTTAGCCAGGTATGGTGGTGTACAACTGTAATCCCAGCACTTGCTCAGGAGGCTGAAGCAGGATGATCTTGGGTTCAAAGCTAGCTTGAACTACATAGGAAATTCAAGGCCAGCTTGGGCTACACAGTGAGACCCAGTTTCAGAAAACCAGACAAAACCAAATCAAACCAAGAGAAAAGTTGCTTGTGCATTACTACTCAATAAATTGTACAATGTTTGTATATACATATATATATATATATATTTTTTAAAGGCACGTACAAGAGGGATGGGCAGGGGAAGAGAAGGAAGAATCCCATGTCCTCCTCCCATGTCCTCCAGAAAGCTCAACCCTCTGCCCCCTCCCCTCTCCTCCCCTCCCCCCCCCCAGCTCTCTGGGACCTTCCTCCTGCCACACATGCCTGTCGGAACCCAGCCCTGCCATGCTCACCTCTGGGCTGTGCCAGGACACAGCCAGAGCCAGACAGCCAGGGTATTGCCAGGGTCAGCGCAGCAGGCCTTGCCTGTCTGCCATCTTCCGGAATCAGGAGTCTTTAGAACTCTCAACTCATCAGACCACAGCAAACTCTCAAGATTTTTTGAAAACAAAACAAAATATAGCCAGGTGCCAGTGGCTCACGTCTATAATCCTAGATACTCAGGAGACTGAGATCTGGGGATCACAGTTTGCAGCCAGCCCAGGCAGAAGAGTCCCCATGAGATTCTTACCTCCAATTAACCACTCAAAACCAGAAGTGTAGCTGTGATTCAAAGTGGTAGAGTACTAGACTTGAGAAAAAGAGCTTAGGGACAGCACCTCAGGCCCTGAGTTCAAGCCCCATGACCATTAGGACAAAAACACAAACAAAAAACAAGATATAATAAAAATGTCCCCCAAACCAGAGGATGCATAGTCTATCGCTCCAAGACTCTATGGAGGATTGGCACTAACTTTTCATTTAAAATGAGCTAATTACATGATGTGATTGCCAATTTATCTGACCTGTTTTTAATCAATTACCCATTTTTCAGAAACTAATTGTAGCTCCTTTTCGCAAAGACACACTTACCTCTACAGATTTCTTACCTCCTCTGTGAAAGAGCTGAAGTTCTGGAGGAAGTATTTCCAGTGTATGAAGGGGGTGAGATGAATCTTCAATTTCCTCAAAAAATAATGATATTGATTATCTGTAAGTTTGTAACAAAAGTCTTTAAGGACTTTCCCGAAGTCTGTGGCCTTCACAAACCCCGTGTCTTCTTTATCCACAGCAGAAAACACCTAAAAACATGAAAGGAAAAGATGACAAATGCTGTTGAGTATTAAAAAATAATTTCCTTAAGTATCATTTCTGTTCAATGAAAATGAAATCTAGTATATAAAAGTCCTTTGTAGGCCGGGCGCTGGTGGCTCACGCCTGTAATCCTAGCTACTCAGGAGGTTGAGATCTGAGGATCGCGGTTCAAAGCCAGCCCAGGCAGGAGAGACCATGAGACTCCTATCTCCAATAAACCACCACAAAACCAGAAGTGGCGCTGTAGCTCAAGTGGTAGAGCACTTGCTTTGAGCTGAAGAGCTGAGGGACAGCGCCCAGGCCCAGAGTTCAAGCCCCATGACCGACAAAAAAAAAAAAAAAAAAAAGTCCTTCGTAGCTGGTCATTGGTGGCTCATGCCTATAATCCTAGCTATTCAGGAGGCTGAGATCAGAGGACTGAGGTTCAAAGCCAGCTGGAGAAGAAGAGTCCACGAGACTCTGATCTTTAATTAATCAGCAAAAGGCAAGCAGTAGAACTGTGGCTCAAGTGGTAGAATTCTAGCCTCGAGCAAAAAAACTAAGAAAGAGTCCTGAATTCAAACCCCAGACCTAGAACCACAATATAAATAAATATGGTCCCTTGTAAATTCTGAATTGCTAAATAAACACATCTTTATCAGAGGACTAAGACAATGAAGACAAACCCTGTCAGAGCTTCAGAGATTTCTGGAAGAGATGGAGGTAAGAGGGAAGGAGATCAGAAAGAAGAGAGAAGGAGAGGCACCCTGGCCGCTGGTGCCCAGAATGTCATGGAACCTGTCCTGGTTCCTGAGCGTGATGTAGTGGGTGGACAGAGGAACGTGTGTGGGGAGGGTCCCTCCACCAGGAGCCTCCATCTCCTCTCACCAGGAGGGACTGGCAGACCCCTGGTCATGGGGGAGGGGCTCTCTCCACAGCTGCGGGCTGTGGTACTCACACTGCTGAGGGGTGGGAGGGGCCTGGTGTGGGGAGAGGACCCTGCCCCTGCCGGGTCTGGGGGGCGGGGCTGGGTCTATGCTGGGAACTTGTCAATGTTCAGTGTTCAGTAGTCAAACTGAAAGTGCAAAAATGTGCTATAAAAAGAACACACATTTTTTCCATCTGTCAAAACAAAATCATTCATTTTTTTATTGCACTAGGAAATTTCTATCAAGTGGCAGATTAAGATTTTTCTTACAATAAGAATTTAATGTACCTGGAAATTCCAAACCAAACTCCTGCAGCAAATCCTCACTTCTGGGATAGCCAGGCACACCCAGGGCATGGGGCAGGAGTAACCCAACTAACTCTAAAATACACACCCATGGGGCACAGGGCAGCAGTGGGGAAGGCCTGGGGCCCTGCATCAGGCATGATCTTGGATCAGGCTCTGCAGTGCACCTCCATGCTGCGACCTCCCTGAACCCCAGCCCCGGCCCCACAAAGGCGGACTGGTTCAGCACTGCTGCCAGGCTGACTCAGTCTCTTGGGAATGTGCCAGGGAAGATCGCTGGCACCCAGCAGCCATGTTCAGGAGACCCACATCAAAACGGGCACGGGTGTGCTACAGGACAGAAGGCCAGGTGGGCTGCAAATATTGAGAGAGCCCAAGGCTCTCTCCGGCCACAGGACCCTGCCAGTTCCCTGTGCAAACCTAGCATGTCAGGCCATAGGGCAGGCACGAGAACTAGAAGCGTGGATCTTCCAATGCCCCATGATCGCAAGGTGCTGATACATTTCAGACACACGATGCACATGGGCATCTGTGGTGCACACAGAAATGCACACGTGTCCCGTGTCCTCTCTGATGGCCATCCCACGACATACTCCTTCTTCTCCTCCCTGTTACTCCCCTGCCCACCCCTGTCCTCTCCCTAAGGGGTTTTCCATGAGACCCACTGGTCTTAGAACCTCCAAGAACCCCAGCTTGAGAAACGCCTGACAGGGGGTGATGGCACACTTCTGGTTAAAAGGTGACAAGGCTGTCCTAAACATGAATGCATTTGGTGTGCAATGAGCTCTGGGAACTGTGGAAAGTGTGCTGACACAGGTCAGGAGGCTCCTTGTGGCATGGACAGGATCTGTGGCAATACTGGGCACACATGCTGCTCATGGTCAGTGGGGCGGGAGGAGCTGTGGGTAGGGAGGCTGGCTGTGGCCACCACATCCCTCTATCCTGGTCCCTGAGGAAGTGTGTCAGCTTCCCTTGGTGGCTGCTGGGCAGGTGGCCTCAGCACAGGAGGGTCTGGAGGCACTCCACTGTCACCTTGTCGTCCCCGGGATGGTCATGTCCACACCATATATGTTTGCATCTTAGACACTGACCGTGTCTGCTCTTGGGACAGAGGCGGAGTTGTGGGCTGGGTGCTGCTGCTCTCTGTTTATCTCCCCACTAATCCATCCCATGTGGGCTCCAGGGTGCACCTCTTAAAATCCAAGAGTCTAAAGCCAACCATCCTGATGAGCCACAGATGGCAAAGAGCCCCACGGAGGTGGAGACAGGCAGGCCGGTGCCTCAGCCTGGAGTCTGGAGAGGAAGGAAGCGTGCCTCTGCTGCCTGTTAATGGTCTCAGGTTCTTTCACCTGCAGGAAAGTCTGGGACACTCTTATCTCCAACCAATCAACAAAAACCTAGGTGTAGAGATGTGGCTCAAGTGGTAGAGCACCCGACTTGAACAACAAAAAAAAAGTGTGAACATGAGGCCAGCATATACACGACTCCCTCCCCCCCCCACCTCCTTGTCCCCCCAAACCCAAACCTAACCACCCATCTACATTCTCAAGGAGAATGGAGGCACTGAGTATGGGCCCTGGAAGAAGGGCTGGGCATCGATTTTGATGGACAAAGATAGGCTTCCATTGAGAAACACTGTGTGATTCACCATACCTGGAACAAGGCCTGCTGGGAGCAGCTGACCAGACACTGGATGCTCTTCACGATCTCCTCTGGACTCAGGGTGGAGAAATCGATGGACTGAGGCCCAGTCGCCCCGCTGCTCTCCAGCGCTCTCAGGAAGTCTAGGTAGTTGATGGAATTTTCATGCACTTCGATCTCCAGGCTTCCCCCCCCACAAAGAAACAACAGATTAGTTTAAAAAAACCTATCGCTTGCTCATTCAACAAACAGTTCAAAGAGTGTGGTGTAAGACACTGTCCTGGAGCTGTGGGTAGCCACACGCCAGTCAGCCCTGTCGTAGGCGCACACGGACACTGTGACCACAGGAAGCAAGGGAACGGCATGCAGAGGTGAGGGAGGGTCGCCCCAGCCAGTGGGGCCCCCTGTGCTCTGTCTTGAGAGCCTGAGGGGTGGGAGACCAGGCCTGTCAACAGCATCATACATGGCTGATAGAGCCAGCTGCCAGGGGCTCATGCCTGTAATTCTAGTTACTCAGGAGGCTGAGAACCTGGAGGATCCTGGTTCGAAGCCATCCCTACAGCAGAAAAGAAACTTCATCTCCAAAATAACCAGCCAAAAAAATCCAGGATGGAGATGTGGCTCAAGGGGTGGAGCAGCAGAAATGAGTAAGAAAGCCAAGCAAAACCCATGATGAACCACAGAGGCATGCCCGGAGGTGCTGTCCTCCAGTGGGGTTGAAATGAAGTTGTGAAGCCCAAGCCTCTCCAAAGACCTTTGTTCAATGACTGGTCCAGCAATGTTTCCTCAAGGAAAACTCCATTACAGCTCTGAGCTGCACAAGGACATCTGAGCAGAAACGCCTTCCCTGTGTGACCCTCACCCCACCGGGGGGCAAGCACCTTCAAGGCCTAGCGTTCCTTAAGAATCGAGAGCACATTTATAAACGATGTAGAGAGTCAAAGTGGAGTTTCATTGCTTTCAAAGTTCACATCTCTAGACTTGAATTCCTGAATTCAGCCTCTCAGCCAGACAGAGCGTGATGTCAGAACAGACCCGAGGGGACTTGGGTAAGCCCAAGAGAGAAGCTTCCGGTGACGCTGAGATCTGCCTCCAAAGAGGACAAGTCAGCACGGAGTTACACGCCTGTAACCCCAGGCACTTGGCTGGCTGAAGCAGGAGGATTGCAAGTTTAAGACCAACCTGGGCTATGTAGTGAGACTCTGTCTCACGAAAAAGAAGAAACTAGAGCGGCCAAGAGCTAAGCGTCTGCACAATGCAGCTGTGGCGGCGCCTTGCAGGGCCGCGCCCGCCGCCCCGCATGGTGGGCACGGAGGAGGACAATCAGTACTTTTCATCTGCGGGCTGAATTGCCAGTGTGGTATTAAAATGTAGTAATAAAATCAAATGCATATGCAAATCTCAGTAGTATTTAGAAAAGTCTATTCTGGAGCGAGAAAAGCATAATCTACATATAATTACCACTAGCTGGGATTCTTATCATCAAGAGGTCTTTGAGAAGAGACAAGCGGCTGAGCAATGGAGACTTATTAAGGTTTCAGTGCGTAAAAAAGTTGATCACCCCATTGACAGGTGGACTACAGAAATTCTCGGTTCCTTTGTTGTTGTTTGCGGAAGTACCAGCCTGACTATGTTTTCACAGCCTCTCTTATAATCCCCTTGTTAATTATTTAGCTGCTGCTTTTCTCCATGATTTATTCATTGAATGCATATGAATTCTTATTCCGCTGGAGATGCACTCAGTGAGAAGAAACCCCGTTTAGGGACAAGGGGACATATCAGCATTTGAAGACTGCCCTCCCTCCTCTGCATACATGCATACACACACATATGTGCGCACCTACATACATGGACATACAACGGTGTTGGCCTTCTCAAAGCTTAAACACACTAACAAAAATTTCAAAATCCTAAGTCATGTCTCCCCCCGCCCCCACCCCCCGGCTGCCAGGATGCTAGACTGAGACAAGCTGTGTGGGAGAAAACTTTAAAAAAAAATTCAGACCAAAACATTACTTCCGGTCTGCTTTTTCTTAGAAAATTACTTCAAGAAGTGCTCCAGCAAGAAAAGAAAGTAAATCAAGAGATAAAAGGACATAGGATTGCCAGGTGCTGGTGGCTCACGTCTGTAATCCTAGCTACTCAGGAGGCTGAGATCTGAGGATCACGGTTCAGAGCCAGCCCAGGCAGGAGACTCTTATCTTCATTAAACCAACAGAAAACAGGAAGTGACACTGTGGCTCAAGTGGTAGAGTGCTCACCTTGAGCTGAAGAGCTCAGGGACAGTACCCAGACTCAGAGTTCAAGTCCCACTACTGACAAAAGATGTGGGATGGAGGTAAAGGGACACAGAACTTAGAAGTGTTACTCCTCTAACAGTCATACAATAAAAGCTGATCAAACACCGCTGTTCCTTGAAGCCAGCAAAGAGCTGAGGCTCTGGGGGAGGTAACACTGGGATCTGGAAAGAAAGGCCCTCTTGAGGCTCATAGCCAGCATGTGTTCTGGCGCAGAAGCTGCAGGAACACATGAAGGCGGCGAGGCTGCGTGTGAGAGGGAGGCACTCTCGTGGGTCCAGGCACTCAGGCTTTACCTCCAGGAATCCTCCAGCCCCTCAGTGAAGGCCTGGGCAGGATCTCTCATCCTGCAGTGGGTGGTAAGAGCAGGGAAGAGTAAGCCATGTGACGCATTCCCAGAGCCTTCCAACACTTTCCATGGAAGCGAGCTCAGCAGACCTATCCCAGCTGAGGAAAAGTCAGTGATACCCCCTAGTCATCCGCACACAGGCAGAAGCTACGCAACTGCTGGAGGCCTGACGCTCAGGCCACTGATCGGCTGAGTGTTCGCGCTCCTGGGTACCACACTCCCACATCCCCCAGCCTGCAGAAACACAGCAGAAATCGTTCTTGTGGACACCCAGAGAAAACAGGAGATATGCAGACAAGGACAGTAGAGGAAGCCGTGGCTTTTGGCATGAACAGCAGACATTAACCACAAGCCTATACCTGACCAGATTCACATTCAACTTCACCACACAGGACTATCCATCTCTCTACTTGTTATTACCCAATACATCACATCTGGCTTTCAACAACATAACCACAAGGCATTCCAAAAAGCAGTAAAGACACAGTCTGAGGAGACAAATGCACATGGCCACCAGCCTCAGCTGTGACAAAGGTTCTGGAACAGTTGAGTGGAAACACCAGGATTACGTAGGGATTCAGGGGTACGGAGAATGTGCGCAGGGACACATGGACGAAGTGAACAGGGAGATGGGAACTCTGAGAACCAAAGGAGACGCCAGACACACAGAGCTGTAGCACAGAGATGGAGATGGCCTCTGATGGGCTCGTCAGCAGGCTGGAAACTTTAAGAATGGGAAAAGAAGCCAGGCATTGGTGGCTCACGCCTGTAATCCTAGCTACTCAGGAGGCTGAGATCTGAGGATCATGGTTCAAAGCCAGCCAGAGCAGGAACTCCATGAGATTCTTATATCCATTTAACCACTAGAAAACCAGAAGTAGTGCTTTGGCTCAAGTGGTAGAGTGCTCACCTTGAGCTGAAGAGCTGAGGGACAGCGCCAGGCCCAGAGTTCAAGTCCCACGACCAAAAAAAAATGGAAAAAAGAGACCAAAACACAGTGTCTAAGAACTCTGGGGAAATGTCTGCTTAATTGAAATTCCAGGAGAAAAGGAAAAGAACAGAAAAAGCATTTGAGGTAATGACAGCCAAGACTTTTCCAAAATTAATATTAGACACTAAAGAGGTGCAAGGAAGCTGGAAGAGCCCCAGGCAGAGCTCTCTTAAATGATCTACACCCAGCTCAACATACCCACGCTGCAAGAAACCAAGACGCAGAGAAAGATATTGAAACAAGCCTGTGGGGAGAAAAAAAGGACATTTGCTTACAGAGGAACAAAGATAAAAATTACAATGGACTTCCTAAGTCACGTGATAAAAGAAGAGCGCGTGACTCAAAAGAGGAAGAAAGCCGGCCTGCAGTGCAGAGCTAGTAGAATTATCCTGTAGTCTCACACTGACCCCGTGACACCACAATCCGCCCAGAGCCCTCTCTGCTTGGCTGCCAAGTTCAGTGAATGAACAAATAAATGACAACAACGATCCCAACTGGTACCTGGTCATAGAACATCAGGTAAATGTATCCCAAATATTGTAAAGAGCACACTCATACTACAGATTATTACTTTTTGGGAGTTTGAATTTAACTAGGCATCTGCATTTTATCTGGTCACTCTGCTCTCTGGAGGATCGGACCAGCCCCAGAGTGAAGGGGAGGTACTCACAAGCCCACCTTTCCTGTGGCTGGGACCCAAGTCAGCATCCCCAGTCACAGTCTTCTGAGCTGCTCCCAGCAGCTCACTGTACTCTAGCAGATTTCTGAGAAATGCATCAAACATGAAGGACAGCTGTAAAGCCACACTGAGGAGAGACCTCAGGCAAAGAAAACGTGTATTGTTGCCAGGTACCAGTGGCTCGTACCTGTAATCCTAGCTACACAGGAGGCTGGGATCTGAGGATTGTAGTTCAAAGCCAGCCTGGGCCAAAAAGTCCATGGAGACTTTTATCTCTACAATTAACTACCCAAAAGCCAGAAGTAGAGCTGTGGCTCTTGTGGTAGAGCACTAGCCTTGAGCAAAAGGGAGCTCAAGGGACAGCACCTAGGCCCTAAGTTCAAGCCCCAGGACCCACACACCAAAAAAAAGCTCATTGTTAACTGAGAGAAGTGAGAGGCAGCACACCACACACACACACACACACACACACACACACACACACACACACACACACACACACACACACACACACACACGAGAACATCAACAATGGCCTGTAAAAAGAGGTGGGAGCTCAACTTGAGGGAATCTCCCAGAAGGCCCAGTAAGAAGCAGAGGAGGAAAATGGGAAATAAACATTTAGAAACATAAAGGAACAAGTCTGTACAACTCAGTATGCAGTGGCTGGTTCAACAGCCTCAGCTGGGCATGGGGCACATGCCCTCTGGAGGCAGAAATAGGAGGATCATGGTCCAGGCCTCACAAAAGACAGACTCTATCTGAAAAGGTACCTGAAAGAAATAACTGAAAGGAAAATGGCTGGGGGCAAAGCCCAAATGGGACGCCTTGGGGGGCTGGGGACTCGGCTGGCAATGAGCACATGGGACCCTGGGGAGCAGGATGGCTCTGTGCTTGTGTGTTGTGTGACATGGGATGTCTGGGTCTCCTCAGACACAAGACACTCATGGAGGTGAGCACCCACCATCCTCTACCTGCACAGCAGGGCAGCACTGATGGATGGGCAGAGGCCGGCATGAATGAAGACAGAAAAGGACTTAGAGCCACCTCTTCCTCGAGGGGAGTTAGCAAGCAAAAATCAATGTAGCAGCATGAGCTTGTCACTAAGAAATGGGGACATTCGGTACTGAAAGCCAGTTAAAGCACTGGAAGTTAAGACACTGTGGGGGTAAAAACAAGGGCAGGGAAGAGGACACATAGGCAGTTTTAGTTTCTTGTTTGTTTTCGCCCTGTTGGGGATATCATAGAACCCAGCACCTTGTACGCTGTAGGTCTCTACTCTAGTTCTGAGTTCCAACCCAGCCCCAGGGCACTGATAAGTTGCACTTTTTGTGTTGGTCCCCCAGGGCCAGCAGGAGGCAGTTCACATCACCTCGGTGTCAAAGGCTGCTTGAGTGGAGACAGGAGAAGGCCAGGCTTGGAGGAAATGGACTTTCCCTAAAAGTTGCTTTTCCCAAAAGTAACAAACAAGCTGGGCACTGGTAGTTCCTGCCTCTAATCCTAGGTATTCTGGAAGCTAAGATCTGAGGGACCATGGTTCAAAGCCAGCTGGGGCATACAAGTCTGTGAGACTCTTAAAATAACCAGCAAGAAGTAGAGCTATGGCTCAAGAGGTACAACTCTATTATTGAGCAAAAAAACTATATCAGTGTGAGGTCCTGAGTTCAAACCCCAGTACTGGCATACACATACTCGTGCGTACATGACTGCACACATGCACACACATGTGTGCACACATACACATGCATGCACACATGCAAGACAACCTGCTGATAAGCTGGGTGAGCTCCTCTTCCTTCAGGGGGCAGCCGCAGTCCTGCAGCAGTTTGTACAGCCTGAAGAGGGACACAGAGCCCACTTTGGCTTTGTCCTGTGTGCTGAGAGCCTTGCTGATCTCTTTATAATGGTCCATAAGCTTAGCCCTGGAAGAGAAAATGCTTCAGACACTCCAAGCTCAGAGAACTAGCAACTTCCCCAAAGCACATGCAGTAAGGCCTCCATTGCTGGCCCAACAACCAGTCTGGAGGAGTCTCAGGCTTGGCGAAACATTTATAAGAGGAGGTATCCCAGAAAAGATGTCTATAATGCCTTATTACTATCATTATTAGTTATTATTTGTCATTTGTGGGGCTTGAACTCTGGGCCTGGGTGCTGTCGCTCAGCTCTTCAGCTTAAGGCGAGCGCTCTACCACTTGAGCCACAGTGCCACTTCTGGTTTTTTGGTGGTTCATTGGAGATAAGAGTCTCATGTACTTTCCTGCCTGGGCTGGCTTTGAACCATGATCCTCAGATCTCAGCCTCCTGAATAACTAGGATTACAGGTGTGAGCCATTGGTGCCCGGCTTATTATTATTATTAGCAAAATTATATTAGAGAAATTACAACCTTGTCTTTTTACTGAAGTTGGCAATGTAAAAATGGAACCAAGGATTTTTTTTTAGCATGTTCCAAACTTTATTCTTTTTTTAAATTTTTAAATTTTTTTAAAATTGAGATTAGGTGATTACATAAATTTCACATATTTCACAGTATGTGGAATAGTGATACTTAGTTAAAGTCACAAATACATTTTAACCTTTACAAGGCAAATTGTCATTATCATGGTCTATAAAGTTGTGAATTCTATGAGCTTTGACAATACAATTATTTCGTCCACATCAGGTGTTATGTACATTTCTTTCCTTTTGTTTAGTGTAAGCGGTTCCCTCTTTCCCTCTCGTTCCTCCTTTCCCATGGAGCCAAGGCTTTTAAAATAAAGAGCTATTATTGCAGACAGAGGAATCACGCCTTCATTCTCAGCAAACCTGTTCTCGGAGGAACCTGTCCTGTGTGCTCTGGGCATTGGGCACCTATGGACTCAAGCAGGCACCCCTAGGAGAACTGATATTAGGTGGCAGATATTGAGAATACTTAGAAGATAATCACACAGTGCACACATGTTAGTGGGAAAGGAGAAGAGCCAGAGGAGACAGACACCTGTAAGACCGTGGGAGGTGCAGGTGGGCCTCTCTGGGCCTGACACCCTTGAGCAAAGCCTGGGAATTGAAGCATCCCACGGCTCCAGGGAGCAGCCAATGCCCAGGCCCTGTGGCAGGAGTGGAGGAGAGGAGGGGTCAAGGAGCACCCAGGAATGCCTTATCGTGGAGCAGGTATATTGCCACTATGTGCACCAGCAGGCAAAGCAGTGGCCAGGCTACTTTCTGTATGTGCACTGAACTCAGGGCTTTGGGTGCCAACCCTGAGGTTTTGTGCTCAAGCTTGGCACTCTACCACTTGAACCACAGCTTCACTCCCAGCTTTTTGCTGATTAATTGGAGATGAAAGTCTCATGGTCTTTCCTGCTCAGGCTGGCTTTGAACCGCAATCCTCAGATGTCAGCCTCCTGAGTAGCTAGGATTATAGGTGTGAGCCGTGAGGACCTGGCTATGATTGATCTTTTCAACAATACATAAGCCCACGTTGCAGACAGAGGACAGGGCAGTCCTGGGCCAAGAGCCAAGGGCAGTCTTGCCTAGTGTGGGGGATCCATGCTTGCTTCCTGGCTGTGGGGTTGATTTTCCTACAGACTATTCAAGCCTCCTTGATTTGGTTCAGGGAAATTCTTCCACTTCTGCTGGAGGACTGAGATTGTGTAGAGGTTGGGAACAATGAATAGCCTTGCACTTGACCTCTGACCTTCAGTGACTGAGTATAACTTCTCTAAGTTCTGCTTCTCCACCCCTTGGAGGAAAAGACCTGCCCATAGGGCTCAGATGCCACGTGGGCTCTGGGGCCATTCCTTGGAAAAGATGGACTTAGAGGTTTATCCCTACAGCTATGCCGGTGCCTGCCTCAGGTAGCTATGGGACAGCCCTGGAGCCTGCCTGGAAAATACAACCTACTGACACAGCAGAGTTAGAACCCCAGGAGGGGCAAAATGAAGTAGAACGTGGATGGGTGGGGCAGACAGAAGTGGTATGAACGTGGACATTTCCCTGTGGCCTCTGGTTCAGAACCCACTCACCCAGCCCCTCATCCCACCCCCAGTCTAGCCACAGGCTGCAAAAGACACTGCTGGGCTTGTCAGCAAGATTGTTATGTCTACTTAATCCTTCAGAATGAAAGCAAATGAAAGTGTGGCCCCCACACATTTGGGGGGATACATAGTTTTAGAAAATTGAGGCATTCAGCATTTCTTGAACTGGCTTCAAGGCAGCAATGATTTCCCTTTCAGAGAAATGTGTGCACTGTGTAAATGAGGCCTGGAGCGCGGATTACAGCGCACTGCCAGAGACGGTGTTGGTCCACACGGAGCAATACAGCTGCTCGGGCCCGGTGGGGCCCTGCTCTGCATGGTGAGCTGGAGGAGGCCACTGCCCGCCCTCCCCAGAGCTCTGCTGGGTTTGCTCTCTATCCCTCTCCATGTGTATTCTAGAATGGGCCTGTGTGGCTATTCTGATTCTCAATCTTCTACTCAGACGCTAACAAAAAGAAAAAGAAAAAAAAAAGGCCTGGCAAAGAAAGTCTGAAAAGGATTTTTCTAATTTTTTCAAGTAAATAAATAAAATTAACTCCCTTAGATTTAAAAGACATCTCTTAGTTCATCATAACATCCATCTTGCAGTGGATCCGCATTTGAGGACGTAGGGGACATGAAAGAGAGCCTTGGTTTGGGTGTGTGGGGTTCCCTGAAAGCCCTGCTGACGGTGAACTGCCAAACAAGCCATGCTGCAGGGCGGGGCGGGGGGGGGGGGGGTTCCTGCCTTTGGGAAAACAGAAGTCAGCCCTGTGTGGTGAGTAAGCCGGGGCGTGACAGTGTGAGTTCACTAGCTGAGCCTGATGGTTACAAGTGCACACAGCTCCTCAGCTACACCAGGCTCCCTGCAATCCTGAGCTGGTGGCACACGTGCGTGCCTTGTGTGGGAGCGCCGAGGCGGGGGGCCTCCCCACAGATCCTCATTATCCGCACCGGACGGGAGAGACGAGCTGGAGACAGGAGTGGGTAATGAGGCCAGCCCTGTCTGCTGAAGATAAATTCCACTTCTTCATCAGTTTTATGGCGTATTTGATTTATACTGATCGGGCACACATTTTACGATGAATTTCACAAACTCAATTCCCCTCCCTCCAGCTCTGTGACTCAGTAGCTTAGACATAATTCAAGGGTACATGCCAATGGCTTTCCTCTTAAACCCTACTTCATTATTGTGTCTCTTCTCCTTGTCCTTAGTGTTATTTCCTTTGGGGATTCTTTAACAGCCACTCATCCATTTGCTCAGGTACTCTGGGGATAGAGTGAGTCCTGCCATTGGAATGACAGGGCAGGGGATAGGGGCACAAGAGGAGCCATGGCAGAGCCACGCGGGCAGGGCCTGTGGGCAGGCGGCAGTGGGACTGACCTGTCTAGTTATTCTATGGCCACATCACCCAGGACACAATTGTCTCCTGTGTTATAAGTGCTAAAAATATGACAGGGGGAGTTATCAATGTGGAAAAACCATCAAGTACCATCCTTCATCCACATACAATGGCTGCCTCTTATATAGTATCTCCTGGTCCTTGCAGACAATTCATTCCCTGGATGTCATTCTGCCTGTGATGCCTATACTGCCCTACCCACTGGTCCTTTCCCACAAACATTTCCTGGGGTTCCCAGGCACACATCGCTGCATAGGCTCGCTCTCAAGACACACTTTACTTCACTAGCCCAGCATCTGTTCATCTATCCATCCTCTTATCCATCAGTCTGCCCATACATTCATCCATTCATCTACCTACCCACCCACCCATCCATCCATCTTCCCATCCATCCATCCATCTATCCACCTACCCACCCACCCATTCATCTTTCCATTTATTTACTTACCCATCCACCCATCTACTCACCCATTCATCCACCCACCTACCCACCCATCCATCTATCTTTCCATCCATCCATCCATCCATCCATCCATCTTTCCATCTACTCACCCACCCATCCATCTATCCACCCACCCATCCATCTATCCACTCACCTATTCATCCACCCATCTTTCCATCTATTCACCCATCCATCCATCTACCCATCCATCTACCCATCCATCTAGCCCTTCATACATGTATTCAGTCCACCCATCCCATCCATCAATATTTACAGGGTTCCTATCAGGTGTCTGGCACTGGGGAAAGCAACAAACATCCTGTGGGCTGGGCCAGGCCCTGTGGGATGCACAACCAGAAAGGGTCGCTGTCAAGAGTGACCTGTACCTTGAGAGAGATATGTGATGACCGGGTGAGGCAGGACATAGTTTTCTGGTTCAGCACCAGTTTCTAGAAGTGAAGGCAATGAGCGAGTGAAACAATTTTCATGATAACTTTACCAACACAAATTGAAAGGCAGCATTTTAAAGCAACTTTTCCTGCCAGGTAAATGGACACAGCGCATCCAGACCGTGAACTCACCTGGCAGGCATGGTCTTCTCCATGACCTGATGCAGCTCTTGGATTTCTTCCTGGAGCTGCTGAGGCTTTGTGAAGTGGCCCATGAAGTTGAAATAGTCTTCTTTATTGGGCCGGTGGACCGCAGGCAAAAAGCTAATGCCCAACCTCTGTAGAAACTCTTGGTAAGTAATGTAGCCTCTTCCCTCCCTGTCATAGCTTTAAGAAAGAACAGCAAAGCTTTCATTAGTAGCTGTGAAGGCGTGCCCAGGCTACATCTGCAAGGGCTCTGCTACACACAGGGGCCTGGCAAGGTGGCTGGAAATTCAGTCTCATGCCTCTCTCTTGACCTGCTCTGACTCTCAGGGACTCAAAGGTGCACCACAGTTTGCAACCTGTTGCTCTAATCAAATGGAAGATTTCCTCCTGCATGATCCAGCCCAAGAGAACACTACCAAAGTTACAACATGTAACTGGCGGGACAGTCACAACCAAAGTTAACCCCCCCTTCCATACACTCAACTGGTTTAAAAGGAGCTATGCTAAGGCTTAGAAGAAAACCCTTCAAAAAGCATATTCCATCTTAAAACTTGAATAAGTGAATGCCACTTGATTTCAAGGATGGTAAAAATCCCCATTTTCCCTTTGAAGAGAAGCCAGTTACACACCGCCAACAAGAGAGACGAGAAAGAAAACAAGATAAAAAGTCTGTTATATGCCTTTTATGTCATTTCCTATTATTGTGATTTTTTTCTGAATTAAAATTCATTAAAAAAGGCATAATGAGATTTTTTATCTCCCAATGTTATTCAAATAGCATAGAATTGCTTTAATAAAAAATTAAGGCAAGTTGTCAATTTTCTTTCTTTTATTAAAAAAAAGCTTTTTTTTTTTCCCCACTTAAAGCTTTTGGCTTCTCATCTAATCGATTAAAACGGCATTTGCAGATGTGGCTTTTTCCCAGATAAATTTGGCGACACAGAGCAAGATTTATATTCAGGCAATCTTTGGAGCCTGGTTCTCTCCAGGGATGCTGCTGGGTGTCAGCCCTGGGCACCCACGCTCTCACCAGCTGTGCAGCTCTCCTGCCCGCTAGCTGGGAGCTCCCAGGACGACGACAGAGCCCCACGGTCGCTCATGTACTCTTTGCCCTAACAATAAAGTCAGCAATTTGCTTCTCTGAGTTCTGGGGGTAGAATGGTGGTAGTTGGGGGTAGGAAGGCAAGCTGTCCAGGCAACTGTGTCTCTCTCTTGCGCTGAACTGCAGAGCATACTGGGAGCCAGAAGCTATCCGCTGCCCAAAGCCAGGGGCCTGGTAGAAGCCATGGCCTGTCAGTCCTGTTCCAGACAGACCTGCAGCTTCCCCTACCACTGTTGTCCGGGGCCAGGTCTGTGACCCTCTGGTGATTTCTTTCACTTTGTTGTTTCACTTTGTTTCACAATGAGTGGCCATGGCTGGGAAGCAGTCCTGCAAATGTCAGTAAGATGGCTGCAGAAGGACAGCTTAATTCATACTGGAGTGGTGGTCTGTCTGCCTGTGAGTGTGTATATGTGTGTGTGCGTGTGCATGTCTGTGTGCATGTGCCGCATCCTGTGCTTCCATGGCACCAGAGCAGTGCATCTCTCCCTGGGTCAGGACATTGAGACCCAGACTAGCCTTATCAGTGTCAGAACACTGCCGACCCTGGCTGAGACACCCCCTCACAGAGCTGCCAGGGCTTCTACCAGAGGGCTGTGGGTGGAATGATCCACCCCCAGACAGACAGACAGACAGACTCAGGTAGCATTGTATCTTCCCCAGAAACCTCTCACTCCTCTTCTAGGTCTAGACTTCATGACCCATCCTTTCTTAGTGCCTCATGGCCTGTGAGGACAGAGGGGCCAATGAGTTCAAGGCCTGCCTGGGAGCTTCAATCCTGTGACTTTGTGTGAGGGGTGGCTGTGTCTCTACCACGTCCTGCCTTGGCCCAGTTCCCATGTCTCCTCTCCCCGCGTGCAGGGACACTGTGTAGGCCCTGCTGTCTGCTGGGCCGGGGAATGGCAGTGCCCTCCTGGCAGGGGCTGCTCTACAGCGGTGTGTGCTGGTGTCCCTCACCTGCCTGCTGCTTGAACTGAATGAAAAGGCACTTCTTAATTACTTCATTAATAAAGATCATAAACATGTTCTTCTCATCACAGTGCGCAGAAGACCAGATTGCACAACTGCAACTAAAATATTGTTATGAATGTGAATAATAAGAGAGTTAATTCAGCTTACATAACCTCACCCCTTCATTATATAATCCTTTGTGCAACATTAAAAAAAAATCAACTTGCCTATAAAGGTTGAATTTTAAAATGGCTCAGCAACAGATGTGCCAGGGAAAATGAGCTCATAAACAGAAGCCCCATAAAAACTTGCATTTGCATTTCTGCATTGGCCATTAATTTATGATATAATCAGATCACGCTGCCCGGTTATTGTACACATGGTGTTTCAGAAGTACACACAAATTTGGATATATCCACATCAATTGTTTGGCTCTGCTGAGGAAGTCTTGGACTTCTGCACCCATTTTTGGGGGGAATTTTAGGACATAGGAATTTAGTCCAAGAGATGAGGGCAAGATAAGGACAGGATCCCCAGGCCATCCCCACAGGTGACACTCCCAGAGATGTGAAGAATTCCCCCTGGTGCCATCTTGTTAGAGGAAGGTCTGATGACTCAGACAGCTGTGTTTCAGATCAGCCTTCCTCTATCCCCCTAAGACTGCCAGTCTGCCCTTGCATGGAGTCACAGGAAACACTTCAGGCTGGAGTTTCGACACTTGAGCCTCTGGAAAGCTCTCTTCGTGAGCCAGAGCCTCCTACCATGCAGCTCCAAAGTGAACTTCCCTCCACCCAAGATCCTGTTCATTCACATCCAGCCTCTCTCACCAAAGGTTCAGGCATCTGATACTTGCCAGCTGGGCACCAAGGAGCTTCTCTACACTCAGTCTTGACCTTGCTTCCTACCCGTGGCAAATCCTGAGTCCTCTGCTGCCCAGGAGCTTTCCGTGGTGTCTTTCTGAACTGGAATCCTGACACAGTGCAAGACATCTCACTGCAAGACATCTGTGTGAATACCAACACCACATGCACATCACCATGTTTCCATACCAGAACCTTGCTCCGCCATACTGCTGCTCCCGCCGAGGATTCCCTTCAGTGTGCTTCCATTGCACATTGCTCTCACTGTCTTTCCACAGAGTTGGTTTTAGATTAGGAACTGCTGAATGCCACCAGATGAAACCAGGCTGGCCAGTGCTGAGCGTGAGTGCTGCCGTGAAGGACAGCCTCCAGTTGGGCAGTGCCCAAGGTGACACCCTGTGCCTGGACCCCCTGCCCAGCCGGGTTGTGGTCTCAGGTTCTTCTCATGGAAGCAGGGCCCTGAGGGACAGGATTCTTCTCACCAGCTGTCCGAGCCCTACCCCTGGCTCCTCAGGGCTTACAACTAGGTTCTGGTTCTGCTAAGTATCTTGCTGCGCGGAGCTCCTGCTGGACATGGCAAGGTGTACCTGTTTATCCGGTTACAAGCACATGGGAGTGGCCACCTTTCAGCTCTAAAACTCCAGGGCGGAGCACAGGGCCTGGGCACAGAAAAGAAAGCCTGACTGATGCTGCTTAGTGGTTGCTGGAAGGCAGGAGGGCTGCTTGCTCTGTAGTCTTTCCAGACTCACAGCTCCTGGCTCCAGTCTGCCTTTACTTCATCACCAGAGTCAGGCTTACTTGACGGTCATCTGTCCCCATCTGCTGGCCCCTCCACCACTGCTGGGTGGGGGACTAGGAGACTTGACCAGCCCTGGGCAGTGGGCTACAGAAGGCTCTGGAAGCCCAGCTGTGATCCTCTGGCAGTGCAACCTTGCCTGCTGGGTGGATACTCTCCCCCCATCAACTGTGATGATAAGGTCACCTCTAGAAGCGAGCCTGATCCCCAAATCCCCACCTGGGAGGGAACTCTCCACTAGACAGAGCCAGTGGACATGCCACCGTCTGGGTGTGAACAGGAAATAAAATAGTGGTGTACCAATCTCCTGAGACTTGGGAGTTATTAATTCACTTCCACAGCATAGACAAGCTCCTCCACACAAACCCAAAGCTCGAAACAAGTGTACTTCACTTCAGAGGCGCTTAATAAATGTTGAGAGAATAATGGGTGCAGAAAGGTTCTTTCTTGTCTGTAGTCTGCCAAGTTTTCTAATCTTACATTTTCAAAAGAACTGAGTGTTATTTTCTTCTTTGCTTCTGTCTTCCCAGTTCAGGGTGCTTCTTGTTCTGACAATGAACTGACTGAAGGGACCACGCTGGCCCCAGCTCTGTGGGGACAGTGGGGTGCAGGTGCTTCCATTCCCATCACCACCACTGGGCGCTGCCGTTGGCCTGCGAGGGCTGCTGGAGGTCTTGACCGTCATGACGGGGATGGAGGCCGGTCCTCACAGTGCTCCACTGCCTGGGCAATGAGCCAGGAGGGTTATGATAATGATGAGAGAAAGAACACGCCATTAAGCACAACTGTTTACTGTTTACGTCTCTGCCAAGTGGTCACAGCCGATGGAGAAGTCATCTCCTCCTTTCCTTGGTGCTTTTCTGAGCTGTCTAAAGTGAGTGCGCTGCTGCATTACAATTAGAGCACTCTCACAATTTTTTTTTTTTTTTGTCAGTTAGGGGGCTTGAACTCTGAACCTGGGTGCCTTCCTTCAGCTCTTCAGCTCAAGGCTATCTCTACCACTTAAGCCACAGCAACACTTCTGGTTTTCTGGTGGTTAACTGGAGATAAAAGACTTACAGTCTTGGGCTGGGAAGGTGGCTCAGTGGTAGAGCACTTGCCTTGCATGCATGAGGCCCTGGGTTCGATTCCTCAGTACCATATAACCAAAAAGAGAAAAAAAAGCCGGAAGTGGCGCTGTGGCTCAAGTGGTAGAGCGCTAGCCTTGAGCTGAAGAGCTGAGGGACAGCGCCCAGGACTAGAGTTCAGGCCCCACGACCGGACCCCCCTCCCAAAAAAAAAGAGTTACAGTCTTTCCTGGGCTGGCTTTGAATTGTGATCTGCAGATCTCAGCCTCCTGAGTAGTTAGGATTAGCACCTGGCTTTCCCACACATTTTTATTCAGGGCACCCTCCATACTTGTTTAGTGTCTGGCACTATCCCATTTGACAGTTAGTGGCAGTCCAAGGCCTTGTGGCAGAGTCCGGTGTCCTAGGCAGATATGGGAGCAGCATCCCATGGTGGCAGCAACTCATGGTGGCCTGAGCTGTGGACTGCCTGGCCCTCAGGAAGCCGCCTGGTCTCTGGGCACAGTGCACCAGAAGCACCCAGGAGTAGCTGGCAGCCTCTTGTGCCGTCTCTCTCAGCCCTTACTTCTTTCCATTCCAAGACCAAGCTTGTAGGCTTGCCTCCTACAACTCCCTCTCCTACTTAGAGCCAGGGGAACTTTCTAGAATCTAGGCCTGCCTACTAAACAAGAAAGGTCCACACTGTACTTGGCTTTCATGATCAGTTCAGCTCTCAAGTGGTGCTGTGTTGCCTCCTCCCTGCCAGTGCCCTCTGCCTGTCTTTTGTCCAGCAGTGACCGTCATGGACTCAGTAGGGGGCCCTTACAGAGGACCCCTGCCCAGCGGTCCTCCACCTGTGGTCTTCCTTTTGCTTCTCACTGTATGATGGTGCTGGTGAGGGAGGATCGCGCCATGCTCTTCTTTCTGCTTGGCACAGGCTGCCACTCCCGGCTGGGTCAGGATGAACTTGGCTGGCTTGGAGATGGTATCTTCATCACCAAGAGACTCTTGGGTCCCTTTGGACCCTGGCATCTGGGGAACAGTTCCAGGATCTCAGCACAGCCCCTCCTCTGCCGAATCACCTGCCCCACAGCCACGGCCTCTTGGCCTGAGCTCAGCCTCCTAGCCCTCTCCTAGCCTCAGCCCTCACCTGCTGAGGACATCTGCTTTCTCATGTCCCACTGGACACTGGGAGCGTGCTCCCCCCCACCGCCCTGCGTGCTCTTCCTAGGTGCCTTACACATGGCAAACAGAAACCATGACAAGGCCCCACCTCATTCCTTCTCCCCTGGACACCTATGTGGAGCACCTGCCACCGCCATTGATGGGTGAGTGTGGCCAGGTGACTGGGCTCTGGCCAAAAGAAAGCAGGCCGAGCCACAGCCACACTGCCAGGCCAGGGGCTCCACCAGCCTCGGAACTTTCTGAGCTCTGCCCTCTCCCTGCAGGCTGAGCCATGGAGGGTGGCACACCTGTCACCTGATATACCACCACCCTGTCCTACACCAGGCTGTGGGGGAGGGGCAGCCAGGGAAATACTGGTCTTGTTAACCTGGTCAAGAAGCTACTCCAACTACTCAGCCTAGAAGTCAGCCTAATATTTTCAATTTCATAAGACGAACAGAACAATGGAGATGACGCCTGATATTATGAATATATTTTGCACGGCTTAACTGCAGGCTTACATAGTAAAGATGGTAAATTTTGTATTATGTGCTTTTTAGCACAATAAAACAATTGGGACAAAAGACAGCAGCTAACAAAATCCCAAATCAATATAGATTTAATTTGATTTTTTGAAATGTACATACAGTACAAAATATTCCTTAGAAGTAGTTCATTTAATGAAATAAAGTCAGAATAATCCGTGCTATAATTGGCAGAGCTTACTGGGGACTGCGGGCTGGGCTAGGAGAGAAGGAGCTAGAAGAGGCCACGTAGTGGGGGGATGGGGTGCCAGGAGGAGGGCTGCTGGGACAAGCAGCAGGAAGACTGCGGGATAAAGCTTCCCCATGGCCTCTGACACGTGGGGCGCCTTGGTGCTCTGGGCTCCTGTGTCTCTCCACATTTTTATATGAAGACGTAAGTGAAATAAAAGCACAAAGACCATACCTTGGAAGCCCAGCTGCTGTCACTGATGGCTGAAGCCTGCGCTGCCCCCTTGGGACTGCGCAGGCCGTTTCCCACTGTAAGGGACTGGGGACACCCTGGGTGGTATGCATTCATTCTACGCCCCCATCCAGCCAAGGGGCTTACATTGCTTGCTGAATGTATGTACAAGGCAAAGGTCAGAGACTGTGGGCCCACCCGGGAAGAGGCACAGGACTAGGTCAGGTCAGCTGCAGGGAGGCGAGAGTCACGCCCAGGTTCCTGGCTGCAGAGCTTGGATCTTTACCAGTTAGCATCCACAGTGTGAGGCCAGCGAAGCAACCGCGGACAGGTCTGACCGCTGCAGTCTTCGACCCAGGGTAAAATATGTGTATTCCGGGCAGGGTCCCTAAGCACACAGTATCTGCCTCCAGTGGAGGCACGCCTGTGCGAAGAGGGCGCATGCGTGCGCGGCCCTCTCCTGTCCTCCCCTGTGTGGAGGGCGCATGCACGTGAGGCCCTCACCTGTCATCCCTTGTGTGAAGAGGACACACGCGCGAGGCCCTCACACGTCATCCCCCTGTGGGAAGAGGGCGCATGCGCGCGCGTTTTCACACGCTGCTGCCTGTGTGGAAGGGCGCATGCGCGCGGCCCTCCCATGTAATCTAAAATAGTTGTAAAAATCAACCGGTGCCAGTGGCTCACGTCTGCAATCCTAGCCATTCAGAAGGCTGAGACCTGAGGATCGCGGTTCGAAGTCAGCCCAGGCAAGAAAGCCCATGAGACTCTTATCGCCACTAAACTACTCAGAGAAAGCCGGAAGTGGTGCTGTGGCTCAAGTGGTACGGTGCTAGCCGTAAGTCAAAACAGGCTCAGGGACAGCGCCCAGGCCCAGAGTTCAAGTCCCAGGACTGGCCAAAAAAAAAAAGAAAAGAAAAGAAAAAAGAAAGTTAGGTTGTATTTTCGGTTTAAGAGGCCGTCAGGAAATGACTTCCAGCTGCCTGAGGTTTGGTTCTTTTATTCCAGAGATGACTTAGGTATAAAAGTTGTGCCACCTCGGCTCCTATCTGAGTCCTGGGGAAGCACTTTTTCTTTTGCTCATTTCTCATCTGTCAACTGAACAAGTCCTATTAGAGTTTAGTTTGGGAGAGTAATTTGTTTCTTTAAGTTAGTGAAAGTAGGCTCCTCAGTCCAAGGCTTATGGACCCACAAACCTCACAGGCCCAGTACTGGTGGTGCAGGCATAGCCTGGTTTTCCACCCATCTACTTCTGTAGCTGTCTTCCATGGGGAAATCACAGAACGCAGGACCATGCATCAACAAGAAATCCCTGCCCTCACTTCCCCTGAATTGCAGTGAAAGACTGTGTGGCATTTGCTGCAGGAAGCAGCCCTGGAAACCAGAGTAAAGAGTGCAGATGCCACTTACCTATGCCAAAGCCTCTCGAACTCCCGTGGCATGAGGGGGATGTCAAAACCATACAGGGCATTCTTGATGTCCCTCCGCCGAAGAATGCCGTTGCCCTCTGTGTCGGTTTCAATAAAGTTCTGCAATGGTACAAGGTGGGCTTAGGAGCTTGTAAGACACGCTACATGTGTAAGGGGCACATAAGTGTCATCAGGGGTCAAAATCTGGAAAAATCCAGTCTTCCTATCCATCACTTAATTGGAGCGTATATGTGCATGTGTACATGTGAGCATGCATGTGCATGTGTGTGTGAATGTGCATGCATGTGTGCTGCAGACAGAGGCGGCTCTTTCTCCGTCCTCAAGTGGACCTGTGTGAGTCTGCAGTTAAGGGGAAGCTAGCAGAGGGTAGGGAAGAGGCTGCCCACTGGCATGCCTGGCTCACCCCCGCCGGTATGCACTGACCAGGCCCAGACCACACGTTTTGACCTCCAGGGCAGCCAGAAAAATTTGGGTCTGCCTAGTGGCCTGTGCAGAGCATCAGAGCACCAGCACACGGCTATCTGGTGTGGGCCAGCACAGCCAGGCTACCATACTGAGGAGAGAGGACACAGGCCTCAGGACAGGTAACTAAAGGGATTAAAAGTTATATACAGAACCTCACAGTAGGAGTAGACCAGGAAAGAACCAATAACAAGAACCAAATGAAACTAAGTGGAAGCATCAGTTTTAAAATGCTTTGTAGAATTAGGCACCAGTGGCTCATGCCTGTAATCCTAGCTCCTTAGGAGGTTGAGGTCTGAGGATCACAGTTTCAAGCCAGCCTGGGCAAAGTCCATAAGACTTTTTTCGGGGGGGGGGGGGGGTTGGTTGTGGGGCTTGAACTCTGGGCCTGGTGCTGTCCCTCAGCCCTTCAGCTCCAGGTAAGCACTCTACCACTTGCGCTACAGCACCACTTCTGGTTTTCTGGGTGGTTTACTGGAGATAAGAGTCTCACAGAGTTTCCTGCTTGGGCTGGCTTTGAACTGTGATCCTCACATCTCAGCCTCCTGAGTAGCTAGGATTACAGGCATGAGCCACAGATGCCTGGCTCATAAGACTCTTGCCTCCAACTAACCAGGAAAAACAAAACAAAACTAGAATTGGAGCTGTAGCTCAAGTGGTAGAGCACTAGCCTTGAGGGAAAAAGTTAAGAGACAGCATCCAGGCCCTGAGTTCAAGCCAATAGGAAAAATTAGTTTGTCATATTTTTCATTTCAGTTTTTAAACTTTATTAATCCTGAAAAAGCTTTAGTAATGTCTCTGTGCACTGCTGCAATGGCTTTAACTTTCTAAAAACTGAAAGTGAGACTTTAGTTTGACGAAGTGTTTAAAGGACACATAAAGTCAACAAATTGGATAAGCGAACTTGTCTCCTGTCCCAGAGGCTGGATGATCCAGCAGGCTTGAAATGGGTTTCTTTTCATTCCCTTTTAAGGGAATAATAATTTCCTTACCTTAGACAAGTCTACCCATCTGTTTTTTGCTTTGGCAACAAGATACTGATGAGCCTGTTCACAGGCTAGTTCTGAATCTGCAACTTTCTGTTTGGTTCTTAAAAGAAAAATAAATAAATAAATAAACAACTGTGCTTATATTTAATGGGCTCATGAATCTCCCAAGGGGTTTCCCTATCCTCCTCTTCCCCGCCCTCCCACCCCCGCCCTGTTTCTTTCAAAGATATCATTAAAGTCTGTTACTTCACATCTGGTCTAACTTAATTCTTAAAATATAGTCTTATTTCCCCAGCTGCATGGTAGGGAAGTCTTCTTAAACTTTTAAGTTCCTGTTTATTTTCAGATAAATACAATTCAATTTTTTTTTTTTTTACTTTTTTGCAGAACACAAAACAAACAGGGCTCATTTATTCCCAGAGGCAGGAAACATAATTTATCATTAAGGGTCTTAGGAGAAAAACAACTGAAATCTGTATTTCTGAACTTGCAAGCTGGGTGAGAACACAGACCCAAGTAGATGGTAAAGCACATATTAATACCCATTGCTTAGTTGAGATTGGTGCTCAAAGACTAGTTGTAGGATTTAAAGATGATACGAATTTTGTTGTATTTACTCAGAAAATGATAGACAACACAAACATGTTCAAAGAGAGCCTGGTCCTAGACAGGTGACAGTGAAACCCGACAGAGGCTGGGGCTGCAGGAACGCTGGACAGCCTGGCTTGTTCCTCTACTACGATAACCAGGAGCCAAGTACTACTGACTCACACCTGTAATCCCAGCTACTCAGGAGGCTGAGATCTGGACATCAAGCTTCAAAAAGTCTGGGCAAGAAAGGCTGTGAGACTCTAATCTCCAATTAACCAGCAAAAAGTTGGAAGTGGAGCTGTGGCTCAAGTGGTAGAGTGACAGCCTTGAACAAAAAAAAAAGCAAGAGTGTGAGGCCCTACATTCAAATCCCAGTATACACACACACACACACACACACACACACACACACACACACACACACACAATCAAGGAAATGCATGCGTCACAACCTGTGGCCTGGTGAACTCCTGCCTCCAGGGTCACCTGTATGGCTTCCTGCCACTGCCTGTCTCCTCCTGCCCTCAAACATCCCCCACTACAAGGTGAGTGGCTTACCCACAGAGCTGTACCACCTGGACCTGGCCTCACCTTCTTTTTTGGTGCCATGTCTCTCTCCAACTGCCTACCGGGCTCTACAGAGTTACAGAATCTCAAGGGCTGAAAAGAATCTGGAACTCTGTACTACAGACCCCCTCTGTTTTACCTAACTCCAAGGTTTCTGGAAGGTTGATTGCACCATGGCATGCTTTTACCACTTTTACATTATCAACTCCAAACTCCATATATCTTTTGTAAAAACAAAATCTTTTAAGAATGTGAGAGAAATAAGCATGCTCTCAATGAAGGCAAACTGAGACAATGTCACTGATTCAAAGATGCACTAACAGAAGTTCCTGGGGGAAGGAAAACGCTGGTGGGAGGGAGTGTGAAACTTTGGGAATAAAGGAGGAGCAGCAGAAAGACAAGTCACTGGGTAACTAATACGCTGGCATTTTAAGATACATGAAAAACATGAAGCAACAGGACGAGAAGAAACAGGGAGTGCCCCTCTCGCAGTAGCTGACCCATGAAATAGACAGTAAACCAGAATTTAGATCAAAGCCACGTCCAGTGGCTCATGCCTATAATCCTCATGCTACTCAGGAGGTTGAGACCTGAGGATTGGACTTTGAGAGCCTGACCAAGAAAGTCCAGGAGACTCTTTATCTCCAACCAACCAACAAGAAGCCAGAAGTAGAGCTGTGGCTCAAGTGGTAGAAGACCAGCCTTGAGGGGAAAAAAAAGCCAAATGAGAGTGCAAACGCCCTGAGTTCAAGCCCAAGTAGCTGTGTGCACGTGTGCACATGCGTGCATGCACACGTGTGCATACACACACACGTATATGCACACACACACACAGAGAATCTTCTTTTCCACAAAGTAATGAACTTTTCCAATGTGTTCTGATGATTCAAAGTAGCTGAGAGGGTGAGGGGCCAAAGGCGAAGGAAGCTTCTAGAAAGGGAAGCCCTGGTGATTGGCATGATGGGAAGTGTGAGGCTGGAGAGGGGGAAAGGCAAGCCCTCTAGGCAGCGGAGGGACACCCCACCACCAACTGGGCTCCCTTCCTTGCCCACCACCCCTCAAAGGTGGGCAGGGTGTAGGCAGCACTGTCGGAGCTCTCTGAGATAGTCTCCCCATGACTGCCTGAGGCTAAGCCAGGTCTTAGGAGCTCTAGTCTCACTTCCTTGAAGATCCTTCTAGACCCCAGGGCATGTAACTCCCCTGCCTAGGGTACAGGGCCTCCTTGCCTGCACCCAGTAGCCTGCCCCACTGGCCGGCCTGGCCTTCTGGTGTCCCCCAGGCCCACCTCACCCCCGTCTGCTCTTCTGTGATTCTGCAACAAGCTATCCATCCTCCAGCCTGCCCCTCACCCACTCCTGCCCACACCTGGAGCCCAGCTTGAGCTCCCTTCCACCAATCCTGAGGCAGCGCTCAGCACAGACTCAGCCCTCACTACCCAGGAGGTGAACTGGTGCAGACTGAAAGGCTGAGGAGGGAAGACCACTGTGTGGTTGAAAAATTTCCCATGTTAATTCTGTGTACATCCTCTAGAAAATTCTTTGGATTTTTTTTGTTATGTCTTAATGCCAAGCAATCAAGTCTCGCATTAAAGCAACTCCGACCCTGGGCTATGGGATACAGGTGTCCAACTCCTGTTATGTGACTGTTTTGCTCACAAGAGATTGAAGTCATTTTCTTGCTTTTATTTGTTTAGTGGCAACCAATATACAATCTATGAATTCTGGAGAGGTCGATCAAGTAGAGTGCCAGAGTGAAGGGTGCTCTGTGGCCTCGCCAGGAGGTGGCACGGCCTGGCACAGGGCTGCGCTGCTGGGGGCTGTGGCTACTGGGGCAGGCTGAAGCCCCAGGGCCACAGGACCCTCCAGGCCTGGGCACCACAGTGAACTGCTATTATGATAACTGCCAGAAAGGCCTCTCACGTGTCAGCACACTACTCAGCATTTCAAAACTTGTTTTTTCTTTTTTGTACTGGTACTGGGGCTTCAATGCTAGGCCTTGCACTTTGGCTTAGCTTTGTGACTCAAAGCTGGTACTCCACCACTTGAGCCAAAGGCTCCAGTTCTAGCCTTTTGCTAGTTAACTGGAGGTTAAGAGTCTCAGATTTGTCTGCCCGGACTGTCTTTGAACTGTGATACTCAGATGTCATCTTCTTAGGTTTACCAAGACTTTTAGTTATCACAACTGGGCAGGGAGAAGCTGACTGGCTAGCCTGCGTATGAACACATGCTGCCTGTGGCTGCTGCCATGTAGCTGGGATGCTACTCTGCCTTTAGGAGGTCCACGCTTTCAGGAGGGGCCAGGGGCACAAGGGGAGGGGTTTGTCTGGCCCAGTATGGGGACTTCTTGTGGCCAGGGGTGGGGCCATGGGTGGTGAGCAGCAGTGGAAGGAGGTCCCTGTGTCTCCAGAAGCAAGGGGGTGTAACTGCCAAGTGAGGAGACTCACCTTATGAGTCTTTGGGGTGCATCATCTGTTCTGAGGGGTCTCTTCTCACAGAGGTTTCGAAATTCCCGGAAATTTAAAGTGACACTAAGTCTCAAGCCAAGGAGGCCAAGGAAGCGCTCAAACTCATCGTCTTTCATGTTGAGCAGTAGCTGCAGAAGCAGTCTGTAAAAATCATGCATGCTGATTATGCCGTCCATGTCAGTGTCTATCTTAAAGAAGGCAGCGTAGGGATCCTAGAAACAAAAGGCACATGTCAAAGCCCTTCCCAGTATTTAAAGGCACTCTATTCCAGCCCGTGTGCAGGGACTGCCAGCCGGACCCCTCGGCTGTGGCTTTGGGGCATTTGGGAGGCTCTCTTAGCCTCCTAGTCCCGGTGGCTTCTCCTGGGAATGGGGAACCTTGCTCACGGGGAGTTGGAGATGGCAGTTGTTTGGCGTCTGTGCTTCCCATATGAGGGGTAAGGGAAGGGGCTGGGCTTGGCTAGTGCTCCCCAGGCTTTGTGGAGCAGTACGGGGCTCCCCTGGTGGTGGAGCAGGGGAGCCTGGCCCGCCATCCCTCCTTGCAAACCCTTTGCGCTGTCCATGGTGCTGCTGGGGCCAGGGATCCCACTGTAAAACGCCATCGCAAAGAAAGGCTCCACATGTCTGGCCCACTGTGAGAAGTGCAAGGCAGAGCCCTGAGATGGGCTCTGGTGGGTTAAGTGCTCTAAAATGCAGATTGCCCTGTTCCTCTTGCCTACAGCCAGACAGCACATGTGAGGCTCTATCTGGACCAACTCCTGTGTTTTCCCATCATACCCCTCCTGGGACTCAGGCTGGAGAGATGGCCAGTGTGGCCCCCTGATCCCTTCAGGACCAATGTCTGGATCCCACCGAGGCTGCCCCTACCCACAGGCCTCCTGGAGGCATGGTGCTTGCCACAGGGACGGGAAGGGGGCACAGAAAGGCCCTGCTATGGCTCAGGTCTGATGAGAAGCATAGAGACTGTGGAAAGGTCAGTCTGTATCCTCTCATTCATTCATTCATTCATCCGTGTGTGCAATCACTCTGCTAAATACTACGGAAGTCTTGCCTCTCTGAGTGATCCTCCTCTTCAGGAGCTATGGCCCCTGGCCAAGGGGCTTCCAGGGCTACATGCCCATCCATTGCTGGCAATCCTAACTCCATCCAGCTCCAAGTACACATCTCCAAATGAGGCGGGCAGTGTAATCTCTTGAATGTCAAACTGAGCAAGGCCAAGAAAAACTCCTGGCCCCTAGCCAGTCTGCCTCTACCCCAGGCTTTCCCACCTGAGCAAGTGGCTGCTCACTCTAACCAGTCTACCAGACCACATACCTGAGTCCTGGGTCCTCCTCCTTTCAGAGCCAGTACCTCCCCGCCCCCCCAGCAGGCTCCCTGCAGAGCACAAGGGAAGCACCCTTCCCAGCCAGGCACTGGTGAGTCAGGCCTATAATCCTACCTACTCAGGAGGCTGAGGCCTGAGGATCACAGTTCAAAGCCAACATGGGTAGATAAATCCTAAAGACTCTAATGCTCAAGAAACCAGAAAAAGAGCTGAAATTGGAGGTGTGGCTCAAGTGGTAGAACACCAGCCTTGAGTGGAAAAAAATTAAACAAGAACAAGAGGCCCTGGGTTCGAGCCCCAGTACACACACACACACACACACACACACACACACACACACACCCCACCACCACCACCACCACCACCACCACCACCACCAAGTGAGAGACTGTGGGACCCATTCATTCCTAGTGCATAATCTTCACAAGGGCACACATTGGAACCATTCCCCAGTTCCTTGCCTTCCACTTCCCACAATGAGGGCTCCTCACTTTATTCTACAGGATTTGCATTTAACTGTTACTCCAGTTCCTGACTACACTGACTAGGTGTGTGGCTTTGTGTAAGGTGCTTTCCATCTCCAGCCCTCGGTTTCTCCAGCTGTAAAATGGAAACACCAACTCCAGAAGCTTAGGTGGGCGTTATCTGACAACAGGAGGAGGAAAAGTCAAACAGGCAAAAGAAAAGAATGCAAAGGCTCAGGGCAGAGTGTGGACGACAGTGTGCAGTGAGCGGGGTGGGGGTCTGAGCTGCGGCTGCAGAGGCTGGACCAGACAGACAGAGCTGGGCCGGAGGGGCGAGGACGGGGCTCATCCTGAGAGCTATGTGGTGCTTGATGTGCAGGACATACCACCAAGTGAAACCAAGGTACCAAAATGTGCACCCCAGATCTGGTGTGGGTCTGGTCTGTCTCATCTTGTTTGCTCTTGTTTTGGCAGCTCTGGATTTGAACTCAGGACCTCATATTTGCTCTACTGCTGAGCCATGCCTCCAGCCCTTTTCCACACAGTTTGTTTTGGAGATAGGGTCTTGCTCCCTGCTTGGGTGTAGTCTGGAGTGCCACCCTGCCATTTCCAGCATCTTGTTATAGACGTGGGGACAGGCGCACATTGCCATCCCAGCGTGGGGGCAGAGGGGTCTCCAATGGGCAGTCAGAACGGGAAGGCAGTTCAGAAGACACTGCGCCATGCCTAGCACTGCCCCTTGGAGCTGCTCTGCCGGTTATCCCCCTCCCCTTTCCCCTCTGGCAGAATCCTTTCCCTTCTGCCTCCTTCCTGGCTTGGAGCCTTCCACCCTCCGCTTTATCAACTCCTCTCCTACCCACAGTCTCCCCGCCTCTGTCAATACCACCATCCTCTCCTTCCATCTTAGCTGTTACAAGCCAGGCCTCTGGCCAGCGGGCCTGGAGTCGGCTCTGTCTCTCCCTGCCATCTGCCTGTCATGGCTGGCTCCCTCCTTTTCTGGCCCAGCACATGAGGGCACCTGCTCCAAGAAATCCACTATGGTGGGCCTCATAGGACGCTTCAGCACCCTTCTCAGCACCCAAGTGTCCAGAAATTGTCCATTTACTACCAGAGCCTTGGACTAGACCAGGCCCCTGGGCAGGGCCTCAGTGGTCCAGCCAGCGTTCAGCACGAATCCAGCGCTAGGCTCTGGGATCCCTCCTTCCCAATGAAGTACAGGCTGACTGAGGGAGAGCAGAGGCTCAGAACCAGCCCCCCCATCCCTCTCTGACCAAGTCCCCAGGGAGGGCTATAGGGTGGAGAGCAGAGGGGAGCCCTAGGCAAGTCACATTTTACCGGAAAAAACTCCTTCAGGCGCTTGGGGAAGAGTCTCAGGCACTCCTCTGCGGTTATTAAGTGGCTGCTCGAGGAAGGTTTGGAGGGAAGTGGGGAGAGAGCTGGAGATGCCACTGGCTGGCTCATTTTAGAATCTGAAACAGACATAAAAAAAAAAACAGAAAAAAAGAAAAAAGAACACCTCCATTAGTGCTGCCCACAGCTTCTCTGTGAGCTGCTCTTCTCAAAGCCTTGTAAACTGCAACACAGGGGTTGTGTCCTAGGACGCTCATGGCGTCAGCTCGGCCGCCGAGGCCCCTGCTCCCACATTGCGAGGTGGCATTGCACTCCGCGTCCTGGTTTGTCTCACAGCCCCGACCTTTCTCCAGGTCTGGGACAGCATCCTGTTCCCCTCTCAATTCCTGGAGACAGAAGGTAGGAATTCCTGGGGTCATGTCCTGCTGACAGGCGTGCATCGATCACGCCCTGCTGGCTGACTCCCCTCCTGACCACCCCCCCACCCGTCAGCCCATGCCAGGCCCTTCACATATCTAAGTCCTTCCAACCATCCTCATAGCTTCTCACATCTTATTTAACTCCTCGGAAATGCACCTCATTCTTTTACAGAGGAGATGGGGCTCAGAGGGGCCTTGGGGCCTCAGGCATGCTTGAGCTGCATAGCTGAGTGGAGGCCCATGGGCTTCTAGAATCTTCTGGTCAGCAACTACATCACACCTGCCTGCTCACCCCCCCAATGGAAAGAGGGGAAGTGTAGGGGAGAGAGTGTAAGTCTAGCGGACTTCTCTGCCTGGGCTGTCTAAAAACTTCTGTCCGCTAGATCACAGCTTCCTGAATGGCTGCGATTATAGACATAAGGCAAGGTACTTGGTCCAGGAGGTAGAACTCAAGGGCTACGGGTCCTTTGAAGAGGCAGGCTGTGGAGTATCACTTAGGATGACCATCTGTGCTCTGAGTTTGCAGGAGATTCAGGCTGAGCTCCACCTTTGAAATTCTATTTAACTTAGCAGAAGGAAGGGGCTGAGGCTCAGAGAAAATTAAGCAAAAAAATGTATGTCCCCAGTCCCAGATGGCCTGGGCACCTCTCTGCTTGGACCGGAGCAGCACGGCTGCGCTGCAGGCCACAGGCAAATGCCCTGGTGGCGTACGCCTGCCATTAAGCTACCTTCAAATCCCGCTGCGAAGTCCAGGTAGCTCATCCCTTCCTTCCCGTAGCCTATCTTGGAGATGAGCTCAGCAAACTGAGTGTCTTCCATGGGCATCCCACTGTCTTCCAGGACCTGGTGGGGACAGGGGGGAGGGGAGCCATCAGGGCCCCAGCTGTCACAATTGGGCCCCGGCCCTCCTGCCCTGCCCTGGGCTCCAGCCCACCATTGTTACTTGTCTGCCCTCACCCAGGCTGCTGTGGGCAGGGAGGGCTCCCGGCTCCCAGGGCCCCAGAGAGGGCAGCCTATGTCTGTTGAGTTGTGAATGAACCACTGGCTCAAGTGGGAACCCAGCAGCCCTCTTCCAAGATGCTGCTTTCAATCTCCTAAGTCAGACCTCTACTCACAGATGTCCAAGGACACACAAACACAATGAAGCGGGATGTGTGAGGGGACTTCTCATTTCCTCACACCCCACAGTTCACAGGAAGGGCTGTGGGCACATTCCCCCCCCCCCCACCATCCATTCTCTCAGTCCATTTGTGAGCATGGGGTGGAGGTAGTGGAAAAAACATGCCTCCTGCACCTCCCTGGCCTGCAAACGTCCAACAGCAACTGTCTTCCTAGGGGAACAGGACTGCTGAATGGCCCAGGCAGATGGCATCCTTGGGTCAATAGCTGGTCAGTCAACACCCCAGCCAGCTGTCTTCATGGAGGAGGCTGCACCCCAAGGGAGCTGGGGTACAAAGGGAAGACATCTCTTAGTCACATTGAGGAGGCATGGTTTTTCTTCTAGCAATGGCCAAAGAATCATCATTCAAAATGGATCTATGGGGGCTGGGAAGGTGGCTCAGTGGTAGAGCGCTTGCCTTGCATGCCTGAGGCCCTGGGTTCGATTCCTCAGCACCACATAAGCAAAAAGAAAAAAACCGGAAGTGGCACTGTGGTTCAAGTGGTAGAGCGCTAGCCTTGAGCTGAAGAGCTGAGGGACAGCGCCCAGGTCCAGAGTTCAGGCCCCATGACCGGATCCCCCCCCAAAAAAAAACAAAAAAAAAACAACAAAAAAAACCCAAAATGGATCTATGTCTAGTGTCAGAGCTGGCCATGATGGTTCATTACACCAGGGGCAAAAGCCAGAGGCTCTCCTGAGAGGGCTGTGAAGGAAGTGTGTGGGGCTGTGGAATGTTGCTCAGGTGTGAAAAAATAGAAGAAAGCCCCAAGAGGTATAAGGTTTATAGACACTAACGGAGAATGTGGGGGCGGGGCACAAGGGACCTATGGTGGCTGGGAGGCAGAAGGCCCAGTGGCCCGCTGGGGGAACCAGTATCCCCGATCCTGACCACAGCATGACACATTGTGCTTCACCTCTCTGCTGAGCCCCGCACCCTTGGTCGGGGATCGGGGCGTGCGACCAGTATTGCAGGGCAAGCGGGCATGGCGCACATGCAGGGCACATGTGCAAGGTGTGAGCAGGCCCTTTAACAGGCACACTGGCTACTCCGTGCCAGGCATTATGTGGAGCCAGGAGAAGGTACTCTTCCCACTCCTGCCCACCTGCCCCCGAAGCAGGGGAAACAGGCTTCAGGTGCCTGCGAGACTTGCCTTCAACAGGTGACTAGAATTAGCAGGCTGAGGGGCTGAGTGTGGTCACATCACAATGATGAAGAGCTCAATGTGAGAAGGATGAGGAGCAGGAGAGGCAGGAGTAGACAAGAACTGGCAGGGAAGGAAGGAGGGGACAGCGCTATGGAGCCCTGGGGCCCTCAGGGGCAACCCCATGTGGGGAAGGCTGACTGGAGGCTTGGTGAAGGGCCTTGGCTCCCAAAAGGAAAGGACGAGAACCTGCGATGGTTCTATAGAGCTCTTCTGTATTTGTCTCACGCTGGAGCTCTGACGGCTCTGGTCTACACGTGGCAGGTGGTCCATCCTTGTGCGCCGTGAGCTCGGACCCTGGAGTCCTCCATGCTGTGTCATGGTGGGAAGGTAGCCCCAGAGGCCTTGTGAGGCCTGTGTGGAGCTGTCTGGAGGAGGCTGGCAGGTGTGCTTACAGCAGCGCTGGGAAGGGCTGGGGCTTGTGGCGTGGCTGGGGTGAGGGCTCCGAGAAGAGGGAATGAAGCGAAATTCCAAGGCCCGCCTGAGGGCCTGCCGGGCACAACTGAGAATCCCAGGCCATCTGAGCCAGGGTCCAGCTCTGGGGCAGCACGAGGGTTTAGACAGAAGCTGAACCCACGCAGGAGCACCCAGAGGCAGTGGGTCTCTGCATTGAATAGATGGGTTGCTTGCTTTGAAAAACAACTCCGTATTTTGAAAACAATTACACATGAATTATTCATTGCAAATTCTTCCTGCTTAGTCCTTTCACAAAAACATATGCAATGGAGAGGAAGAAATGTCTGTAGGCAAATGTTTCCTAGCCTGGAGGACCGTGAAACACCAGAGCTGTGGCAGCCGGAGCAGCCCCCACGGGCATGGAGAGCCACAGGGCACCACAGGCCACTGCAGAGACTATGGCCAGCAAGCCCCTCCTCTGGAGGGGCACTGGGCCTCTGGGGCCTCAGCAGGGGCTCCCTGGCATGATTCAGACTAACACAGCAGCAAATCAACTGGAGTCACACAACCCTCGGCAATTTCTAGCACAATGGAAGGCTCTTGCAATGTTTGTCAACAGATTTAAAAGACAGTTATGTCGCTGGGCCTTTCCTAGGAGGCACTTCTGTGAGAAGGTTCCTCAGAGTGGCACACCAGGGCCTGGCACTCTCGTTCACCATGGAGCCACGCCTGCCATCCCTGCGGTGTGATGGGGGGGGGGTCTTCCTTACAAGTACCAACATTCCACAGCACACTAACAAGTTCTGGGTGCCAAGTGCTGAGTGCTGAGTGCTGATTGCTGGGTGGAGAAAGGAGCCAGAGCAGGCTGAGCCCAGGGTGGGGCTCTGTGGAGCCCAGCTACTACTTGGAAAGGACCCACCCAGATAGCGTTGCTGTGTTCAGCCTCGTGCTGTCAGTGGGTTCTCCAGGGACTACAACATGCCACGGTCCATTTAGGGTTAATACTGCACCATACCACTTACAACATAGAAATGTGGCAGCCAACAAGGGCCTTGCCAGGTCTTTCATGTTCTGCATTCACATATATCACAAACATCCAAAGACGAAGCTACTGGGTTTTTTCTTTGAGCATGCCTACACTTTTTAGTTAAGAGTTAAGTAGCTTTTTGTATCTAATCAGATGCTTACTATATGTGGGCTTCTTAATCCCTTCTTAAACCATCGCCTTCCTTGAGCCCAAGAATTCCCTAGAGCATTGCTTGTGCTGAAGATGGGAATCGCCAGTAATCATCTTGGTTTTTATTTTAATTGCTTGATCTGAAAAACATCATCTTGATTCTGGAAGGAGACTGGCTAGGCCTACAGACTGGAGGTGAGAGGGCTTGCCTTGGCTTTGACTCTAGTTTTTCCTCCAGCACATGGGAGCTGCTGTCCCATTGTCGCCTGGCTCCATCGACTCTGCTGCACGATCATCAGAAGTCTATCACTGTCCTCCTGGAGCTCACTGTGGTTTGTCTCATACTGCTTTTGAGATCTCTCTTTAATTTTGTTTTTAAACAACTTGCCTGTAATTTTCTTGGTTTTTATTGTACTTGGAGTTTTGTAAGGTTCTTAAATCTGCAAGTTTGGGTCTTTCACCCAAATTGGTAAAAGTTTTTTTTAATAATTCCCTTATTGGGATTGATTACATAAATTTCACAAATTTCACAGTATTATGGGATAGTGGTACTTACAGTCACAAATACATTTTAACCTTCATGAGGCGCATTGTCATTATCGTGATCTATAAAGTTTATGGATGCTACAAACTTTGACACTACAGCTATTTCCTCCAAATCGGGTAATATGTACATTTCTCTCGCTAAGTGTAACAAATTAGTAAATTTTACCATTTTTTCTTCATGTATCTATCTTCTTCCCTTGTGTTTCTTGTTCCTGTGACTCCAGTGACACCAGCGTCAGGCGTGTGGACAGTGTTTTCTGCAGGATCTTGAGGCACTCCTCTCCTTTCAGTGTTTTTACCTTTTTCCTTCTCTGCTTCAGTTCATCATATAACATCTTCAAACACTTACCAACCCTTCCTTTTGTTTCTTCATTCTGGAGCCTAGTCATCTAGAAAAACTTTTATTTCTATAAATCTTATCTTTCAGAGTTCTAGACTTTCCACACAGCTCTTTATTTTTCTTGTTTCTTTTTTCCCCCTCTTTTTGTTTTCTTGTGTCAGGACTAGGGCTTGAAGTCAGGGCCTGGGTGCTATCCCTTAGCTCTTTTATGTAAGAGTGGTACTCTGCCACTTGAGCCACATATCTACTTCTGGCTTTTTGGTGGTTAATTGGAAATAAGTCTTATAGAACTGATTTTGAACTATGATCCTCGGATTTTAGCTTCCTGAATGGCTAGGATGACAGGCATGAGTCACTGGTGCCTGCTTCTTGTTTTTGTTTTTGCTTTGTTTTGTTTTGCTGAAGAGGGAGAGGAAGAGGTCTGGATGATTCCAATAACTACCTGAACCCCTCCCTTGGGGCACCTCTCCCCTATCACCTGTAATTGTATTGAAATGAGGCTCCATAAGGCCTAGGAAGTAGACAGGAGAGTGCTCTGGGGAGTGCTGGCCAGCCATGGTCCTAGATAAAGAACAGACACTTGAGCAATAGCTCTCTTCTTAGAAATCTATTTCCATGACTACTTTTCAATTTGCCCACATGGACACTAGTATATGTTAGCTGCAACTCTCTCCCTAACAAGAACCAGAGTTGAAGAGCTAGTATGGCCTTCATTGGAAATTTAAACACTCATTTAATTCCTAGGAAGTATATGCAGGCCCTTCAACAGAGCCCTTTCTTGAAGAAACCCACCAGCTCCCCACAGCACATGCAACTCAGTGCTCACAATTCCATGTTTCACTGCCAGGTTTCTTCTTGGCTTTCTGGAGGAGCCATCCCTGGATCTGTCATCACAGCATTGCTGGGACTCTTCACTGACATGACATGCAGGCTGGAGCAGCTTTGTGTCCCTCCACCCCCACCCCAGTGTCAGGTACACAGTGGAGCCAAGCAGTGCGGCAAGCAATGCTTTGTTTCAAAGTTTACCTTTGAAAAATGGGCCATGCCCACTTTGGAAGTATTCTGGGAAAAACATTTGACAAGGATGAGTTTTGGCCAGATAACCATTAACATTGCAGAGTGATGACTGGAAATGGCATTGCTTTACCCTGGGATGAAGCGTGAGGGCCACCTGTGTCCTGTGGGCCTCAGCTGCACAGGCACCATCCTACCTTCCGGAAGTCCTGCTTGGCAATCTTCCTATCCAGATCCTTGCTGATGTCAAGAAAGTGCTTTCTGAAGACCGGATCCTGCTGCTGGATGCAGTTCTTGAGCTTTTCGATGACCTCTTCTTTGGTCATAGTCTTATTCTCTGGGGACTGGATGCTAGGATTGCAAGCAGACTTAGTTAATTTAGTGCTTGCTGATAAAGCAGAGTGCTTCCTACGACTCACCCCCACAGCAAGGAGGTTCCCGTCCACAAGGGAGAAGCTGTGCTCACAGGGGACTCTAGGGCCTTCCTGGGCCCTCAGAATTGGCAGCAACACCACATCCCCCACAGGTCCTGTGTGCCAGGATGCTGTGTTGGCAGTGGGGACCCTCACACTAAGACTCTGGGCTATGAGAGGGAATGGCATGGGATGGTATGTGTGGCAGAAAGGAGTTTTATGCACTGGGAAAATTGAAAGTCAGAGCCCATTGTGGAAAGAGAGGGATTTACAAAATATAAACCCTTTGTGATGTGCTGTGTGAATGTATGAGTGCGGGTGTATGTGACAGTACGTGAGAATGTGGCTTGCATAAGTGCATGTGAGTGTGTGCATGTGTACCTGAATGTCTGTGTGTACATGACTGTACACACCAATGTCTGAGTGGGCTGTGTGCACAAGGCGATCGTGTGAATGTGTGCAAAGTGTTTGAGTGTGACAGTACATGAGAGTGTGGCTATATCTGAGCTCATTTGTGTGTGCATGAGCGTGAGTGTGTGTGTGCACAAGTGTGTGGGGGGGGGACGTGCGTGTTTGGAGGTTAGCAATTTCCTCAGCTCTCTGAGGTCTCCTGGGCCTGTCGTGGCGGAAACAAAGTGAGTGTGGCCAGAGCACGAGAGGGGCTCCTGTCCCCCGTCCTCCGTCCCCCGTCCTCCGTCCTCCCTGGCTCCCCAGCATGCAGGAGGGGCCACACTTCTCGACACACTTGACTGCCATTACTTCCATCACTGGTTTTAGGAAGCAGAGCCATCTTATCACTGAATTCTTAACCTTTCTCTTAAAGTACTTTCTGCCCATTTATAAAGCAGTTATTATTGAAAAGCTGGGTATTCAGATTTCATTAGCATATCATTAAATGACTAGGCTATCATTAAAATATTCCCATTGCTCTACACTTAAGAACTTTTAAAAAGAGGTATGACAAAGGGAAGGCTGTGGAATTTTACCTTTCGTGCAAATTTATGCTAAGCTATGAAGAAGCAAGTTAAAATAATATCTTTTCATTACAGTAAACCTGTATCTTTTCAAAAGACAGAAGAGCTATAGAATATTCTAAAGGCCGACTTTCCATAGATTTGCTGAGTGTGTTTTATTGTTATAATTCAATTTAGCACTCATTTAAATAATTCTACCACTCATATTGGAAAATGTTAAGTGACTTATGTTTTGCACTAATGTTAGATGTTAGTAAGAACCAGTGTTTCTGGAAAAGGACAGATGGTATGTACACACAGAATGGAAGGGTAGAGCTACAGGGAACTGACTGGGCACTGAGTCCCGGACCCAGGTTGAGCTTGACCCAGGCGGGCACCTGGTTCAGGGATGACTGGAGGTGAGACCCCAGCCTACTTGCTGCAGTGCAGGCATTTCTGAGCTGAGCAGGCAGGCCCGCTCATTCCGATGAACTTAGCTAGCTCTAAAATTCTCTTACTCTAGTCACTGTCCATGTGGTATGCTCACTTATGAAAACAGTCACTTAGCCAGCAAATGTCCACCCAACATCTATCCTTTCGTTCTGTTCATGTTACCTCCTGGGAAGACCGGCATTCTTTGGTTCCTGTTTCTGAGTCTGTCCACCTGGCTTATCCTTCGAAGACGGGGAGACAGCAGGATGGCCATTAACTCCTAAGTACGCCATAAGTTTTTTGTAAAAGATTCTTCCTGAAGTTAAGTCATGAAACTTATTGCAGAGTCTGGATTTGAAAAGTAATCAAGGCACACCATCAGAATGGACAGAATTCCAAAGATTAAACCAAGAGCTGAGCAAGGCACACGTGTAATCCCAGCACTTGGAAGGCTGAAGTAGGAGGGTCACAGGTTCAAGAAGCCTAAACAGTAAGACCCTGCCTCCCAAAAAGAGGCATGGGTGGATCCTGCTAATTACAACCTTTCTTTCTCTCTTTCTTTCTCTTTCTTTCTTTCCTTTTTTCCTCCCTTCCTCCTTTCTTTTCTTTCTTCCTCCCTTTCTTTCTTCCTTTCTCTTTCTTTCTTCCTTTCTTCCTTTCTTCCTTCCTTCCTTTCTTTCTTTCTTTCTCCCTTCCTTTCTTCCTCCCTTTCTCCCTTCTTTTTTCCTCCCTTCCTTTCTTCCTTCCTTCTTTCTTTTTTTCTTTCTTTCCCTTTTTCCTCCCTTCCTCCTTTCTTTTCTTTCTTCCTCCCTTTCTTCCTTTCTCTTTCTTTCTTCCTTTCTTTCTTTCTCCCTTCCTTTCTTCCTCCCTTTCTCCCTTCTTTTCTTCCTCCCTTCCTTTCTTCCTTCCTTCTTTCTTTTTCTCTCCTTTCCTTTTTTCTTTGTGTCTCTCTTCTTTCTCCCTTCTTTCTTTTCTATCTTTTTTCTCTATTTTTTTCTTTCCTCCCTTCCTTCATCTCTGCCCGCCCCCCCCCCCTCCACATCCCAGCATCCCACCCTGAGATTGGACTCAGGGCCTAGTGCTCTCTAAGCAGGTGCTCACCACCGAGCCAAGCCATGCCTCCCCCAGTCCCTTTCTGCATTAGTTGTTGTTGAGGTAGGGTGCTGCTTCATGCTCAGGCTGGCCTGAGCTGTGATGCTGCCGGTGTCCCTGGGGATGGCAGGCATGTGCCTTTGCGCCCAGTCACCATGCCCCAAGCCCCTGGGATGACGGGCACACTCCACAACACCCTGCCATCCATTGATGGGATTTTGAGGTTTTGGTGTCTGAGGTAGTTTGAACCATGAGCCTCCCTGCATGTCCCGCCCCCCCACGCTTTTCTCCTAAGTAGCTAGGATTACAGGCTTTAGCCACCAAGCCCATCTGAGTGATTATAACTTTCATCCATTGCTCAAGGGAGTGGAAAAAAAATTGTATGAACACTTGATAAGATATTTTTGCCACTGAATTCTTCTTTTGGTCATGGTCATGGCCTTGAACTCAGGGCCTGGGCACTGTCCCTGAGCCCTTTTGCTCAAGGGTAGCTCTCTACCACTTTGAGCCTCAGCTCCACTTCTGGTTTTCTAGTGGTTAATTGGAGATAAGCCTTGTAGGCTTTCCTTCCCAGGCTGGATTCGAACTATGATCCTCAGATATCAGCTTCCTGAGTAGTGCGGACTGCAGGTATAAGCCACCAGGGCTGGCTTTACTGAATATATTGTTACAAGAGGAACTAACCCAAAAGATGCCCACATATGTCTACATAAAGAATTGCTCAATATATATAGCTTACTAGCCAAAAGCTTGAAAGAAGCCACATGTCTACACAGATAAATGGGTACACTAACTAGAAAAGTCTTACAATGGATTACTACTCAGCCATGCAAAGGGAAAAAATGATGCTATCTGTAACAATGTGAGTGGATTTCAAAGACATTATGCTAGTGAATACAGCCAGAGAAAAAGAGGAATATTTTGTATTCTTCCATTTACATAAAGTCATAGAAAATGCAAAGCAATCCAGGTACAATGACACATGCCTCTGATCCCATCTACTCACTTTGAGGCAAGGCTGATGGGAATAAATCAGCAAGACCCTGTCTCAACAAATAAGATGGGTGTGATGGGTCACATCTGTCATCCAAGATACAAGGAGAGGTAAACAGGGAGCAGTATGAGGCTGGCTATCTGAGCTGGGAGATGGCTCAAGTGGTAGAGCACCTACAGAGAAAGCACAAGGCCCTGGCTTAAACCCCGGTAGCACTGAGAAGACAATATTTGGTCCCTTGAACAACATCATAAGATGGCTTCATGGATGTGGAGGTTGATGAGTCTCCTCAGATTGTGTCTGTGGCACGGGCAGCCCAGAGCATGTAAAGTACATCACAAGAAAGACACAGCACATGTGCGCAAGAGTGCTTTTAAATTAGAAATCCTGCAATGAAGTTATGTAGGCACATATGTGGGACTGTTAGCACGTGTAAACAGGTCAGGAAATGTGAATGACCAGACCCGCTCCTTCCGTCCCGCTGCTATCTGGGGCCTGGGGGTCGAATACAGGTCTCCAGGTGCTGTACATTGCACCACCTCCCCTGTTTCCAACTCTAGGGCTGAGGTTTTTCTCAATATTTTGTTTCCTATGCTTCTAATAATAAAATTTGTAAATACTTATTTTTGCAAACTTGATTGAGTATGAGGAGCAAGACAAAAGTTGCACATTCCTTTAAGTCCACAAGATTTAAGGCCACAGAACCCAGTGCCGTGGAGGTATGCCTGGCACGGCCTCTGGCATAGGCACTGGCGTAGATGTGGGCTCGATTTTTATAGAGCTGTGTGCCAGAAGACAGGGGGGAGGCAGGGGGAAGGCAAAGGGGCAGGCGGGGAGGGGGGGAGGCATGGGAAGGAAGGGAAAGGGGAGGTGGGACTGGAAGCGGGGGAGGCAGGGCTCAGAGCTGTGGTCTGAGAATACTGCAGGGCACCGGCAAGGCCTGGACTATTTTTTTCTGTTAGTACTGAGGCACGGCTTGCCTCTTCCTGTGGCTTCTCTGGTGGAGGGAGGCTGGTGAAGCGCTGGGCCTGTGTGTGCGCTGATAGCCATGCTCTGACCGGAAGAGAACATGCTGAAGTCTTCGGGTTGTGGGGGAGTGGAGGAGGTGTTCAAACAGTTTTGCACAGCCATTCTGTTACACCATGTCTTTTGCAACACCATCGTTGACAGTGACATCTCTGTCATGTTGCCCATGCTCTGTCATGTTGCTATGTGAAACTCCCAGGACACCTGCTTCCCGTGGCCGCCCTTTCTCACATCGTCCATGCGACCACAGCTGGGAGAGTGCAGGTGGTGAGAATGGCTCAGCCCTGCTTCAGCACCCTCCTCAGAAAGGGCCCAGGATGGCTGCCCTGGCCAGGGACCGCCACTCTGAACCTGGGCTGGCGTGCTGTGTGTGCAACGGCAGCAGGGTCAACCTGGCATGAAGTGCTCATGGCGGCAGACAGCAAGAGTTGGAGCATGCACTCTGAAGCCTGACGCTGCCCAGAACTATGGCTACTACCACTGCTCCGATGGTCAGCGTGTGACCACGGGCTAAGCACTGCACCACACAGTGTGGCAACAACGATGAATAAACCAGAGTTTCAGTTGGTAGAATGGAGGGGACAGATTGTCTAGATGTAAGAAGTAAGAGAAAGACCTGCATTTCTAACAAATCAAAAGCACTGGGGGCCAGTGGTTCATGCCTGTAACCCTAACTACTCAAGAGGCTGAGATCTGAGGATCATCATCCAAACCCAGCTCAGAAAAGTCCTTGAGACTCTGTATCTAATTAGCCAGCAAAGAGCTGAAAGTGGAGGAGCCTAACGACACCGGGTGAGACCCAAGCCCTATCACTCACCCATGACTTCGGGTGGGTGCGCAACTTCCATCAGCAGAAGGAGTTAGGAAGGACTAACTCATAATTTAGGTTCAACTCTCAGCCAGTGTCCAATGTCTAGCAATGATTCAACAATTACCAATACTACCTACTGGTATTATGAAAACACACAAAGGTCTAGCATTAGCAAGCAGACTTGATAGAAGACAGGAAACGAATCTGGTAACCCAAAACACTTACCTTATGAATTGTTCATTTGTTAAAAATGGACAGAATGTGCGCATGACTTTCTTGAAATTATTTCGACCAATGATCCCTGTGTTGCCAAGGTCATAGGACTGCAGCATGTCATAAAAAGCTGGTTGGTTCCTAAAGATTGCATCCTGCACCTTCTCTTCCACCTAGTGTAAGAGATAAACACATTTACCATGCTGTGACCTGGCGTCCGGCAGGTGTTGGCAAAGAGCAGGTGAGTTACTTACTGAGTCCCAGGCCAGGAGGAAAGGAATCTTGCTGTCTGTGTTCAGGGATATTTTTCTCGTCTAAGTGAAAGAGAGAAAGTGTGTAAATAAAAAACATTTGTGTACAGACTCCAGGTGTCTAGAAAGCAGACGGACTTGGACCTGGCTTGGCTAGAGGAGCTGGCATTTCCCTTGCCATTTGAAAATGGGCACAACATGAGAATTTATCATCTAGAAGTCAAATAAAGGCAAAGTAAAAGAATGACAAGATGGTTGGTCACGGGTGGCTCACACCTGTAATCCCAGCTACTCAGGAGGCTCAGATCTGAGGAATGTGGTTTGAAGTTAGCCTGGGGAGAAAAGTCTGTGAGATTCGGATCTTTAGCTAACCACCAAAAAACCAGAAGTGGAGCTGTGGCTCAAGTGGTTGAGCACCTGCCTTGAATTAAAAAATCTAAGAGAGTGCAAGATTCTGAGTTCAAGCCCCAGTACACACACACAGGCACACTGAGAGACACACCGGCACGTATGCACGTGCATGCATGCACACACACACACAGGCACACACAGAATAATGAGGTAGTGTCCTTTCACATGAAGACAGTGACCAGGGGATCAGAAATGGTGGGACTGCAACCAGAAGGGGTTTGTGGAAGGCATTCTGTCTCATTGTACAGATAGTCACCATTGCACAGTCTGATGATTTACAGGCTCCGGATGGAAAAATTCTGTAGCTGGGGTCCCGGGGCTGGGAGCAGAGCAGGGAGGGAATGAAGTGCTCCCAGGATCCCGTCACAACCCTGAGTGCTACACATCATATGTATATTCCTTTCAAAATAATTACAGTGATGTATAACACATACATTCTCACATATTGTTTTGTCAGTAATTCCATTTCTGGTTGGGGGCTGGGAATGGTTCACACCTGTAATATTAGGTACTCAATAGGGAGGTAGAGTTAGGGAAGATGGCAGTTAAGGCCAGCCTTGGTAAAGTATTAGTAAGTCTCACCTCAGTCAGTAGCTGAATATGGTGATATGCTATCCCAGCCACAAGAGAGGCAAGATCAAGAGGACTGCAGTTCTAAGCCAGCCTGGGTATAAAGGTGAGACACTTCTCTCCCCCCACCACACACACCTTATCAACCAAGGGCTAGAGACCGTGCTAGGCACCTGTTACCCTAGCTATGTAGGAAGAATAAACAGGATCTCAGTCCAGGCTGGCCCACATGCAGGATCCTATTAACAAATCCTATAACAAATGCCAAAGAGATGGGGTGTGCCTCAGCAGCAAAACTCCCTTACTTGCTGGACACTGGTGCCTCACGCCTGTAATCCTAGCTACTCAGGAGACCAGCCTAAGCAGAGAAGTTCAAGAGACTCTGTCTCTAATTAACCAACAAAATACTGGGCTGGAGGTGTAGTTCAAATGACATCAGCTGAGCAAGTAAGCTAAGCCAGAGCATGAGAACCTGAGTTCACATCCAGTACTGCCAAAAACAAACAAACAGAATTTCATACTAAAGCAATAATCATAGAAAATCATAGAGAGAAAAGCATGTACTAAAGTGTTCACACCAACATTTATAAAGGGAAAGAAACGGAACAAAGTTTACAGGAAATTCTGTTTTAAACTTTTACAGCATTACTTTTATTGATGTTAAATATCAGTAGTATATAGGTGATAACAAAAAGTCATTGACTATATGATCCAATTTTCAAATAAAGTATTACAGTGTTTGAAAACATGCAGCCAAATGCATCAAAATCCATGCATTAACTATGTATACTTTTAAATCTGGCTTATGCTGAAATAACTTTTCTCTTCAAAAAGGAAAACGGGCTGAGAAGGTGGCTCAGTGGTAGAGTGCTTGCCTTGCATACAAGAGGCCCTGGGTTTGATTCCTCAGAACCACATAAAGCAGAAAAAGCCAGAAGTGGTGCTGTGGCTCAAGTGGTAGAACGCTAGCCTTGAGCTGAAGAGCTGAAGGACAGCACCTGACCAAAAAAAAAAAAAAAGGAAAGCATGTGTATACATGAACACATTTTTACAGATTCAGAAGGTTATATAACACTAGGACTTAGTGGTGACTTTTGCTCCCTTTGATTTACAGAACCATGCTTTCTAATTTTTCTCATTTATTCATTCAACCAATGATGGGACGGGCCACCCCGCCACATCTCCTGGGGTCCAGAGGGTCATGGTAACAGGTTACCTCAGCGTGCCACAAATAAAAGTTAGTGGTGGTGGCCAGTGCTTGGCGCTCTGGGAGGTCCATGACCGGAGGACAGGGCTTAGCCAGGATTGTTGGTGTGGGTGGGGGCGGTCCTGAGCAGAGGTGGGGTGCTGAGCACTGGTGGAGGCACCACCAGGTGAGAGGCCCAGGAAGAAGCCCCTAGCAGTAGGGACAGCACTTCAAGGTGGCTGGAAAGCCCAAAGAGAGGAGAGAGGAGGCTACAAGAGGAGGCCATGAGGCTGGATGTGTGCTGGGCATGAGGCTAGTTGACCACATGAGGACATTCTGCTGCTTTATTCCCAGAGTCCTTGAGGGCCAACACAGGGCTGGCATGGCTGGGTTATGTCACAGCCTTTGCTCCATGCAGGCATGTTGCTCACAGGTCTCTCTTGTTTTGTTTGCTCAGGTGGGGTATATAGATCATAAACACAGAACGAACACAGGGTCTGACCCGCAGCAGGGCTCAGGGAAGGCTGGGCTCACTCCTGCTTGTGTATGGAAGGATTCTTGGACTTCTTGAATTAGGGTTTAAGAAGGACCAAAGGACTGGGCTAAAGACATGGCCCTCTTTATGCTGGTCCTGGGCCTTGAACTCAGGGCCTGGGTGCTGTCCCTAGGCTTTTTTAAATGAAGGCTAGTGCTCTACCACATGAACTACATGCAGTTCCACTTCTGGCTTTTTTGGTCGTTAATTGGAGATAAGAGTCTCATGGAGTTTCTTGCTCAGACTGGTTTTGAACCATGATCCTCAGATCTTAGACTCCTGAGTATCCAGGATTACAGGTGTGGGCCACCAGTGCCTGGCTACCCTTCCCCTTTAAAAGAAAACAACAATATGGTCTTACAACTATCTTTGGCCAGGTTGGCCTCAAACTCGTGATCATCCTATCACTACCTCCTGAGTAACTGGGATTACAGACATGGGCTACTATCACTGGCTTGATTTAATCTTGCTCTGAACCACCAGTACTCAACTGGCTCCCAGGTTTCAGATGCTGCCTGGACACACAGGTTCTCACCTCTACCTGAGGACAGGTACGGACTAAATCAACATCTCGCCTGGGGGGCCATGAGCTGTATCCAAACAGTTTCTAGAACTTTTATTTAAGAAGAATTATGTACGATCTGTGTCACAAACCATGAAAATGCCCATTCCTTTGACCCAATTGCTCGTTCTAAGTAATTCTTCATATATACATGGAAAGTATTCAACAGTATTTTCATCCATAGTGAAAACAGACACTAGGGCCACACAGAGACGACTCCGTGACAGACATTAAAATTCGTGTTCATGAGGAAATTTTTTTCTTGGTTGGTTGTGGGGCTTGAACTCGGGGTCTGGGCACTGTCCCTGAGCTTTTCTGCTCAAGGTTAGTGCTCTACCACTTTGAGCTACAGAACCATTTATGGTTTTCTAGTGGTTAACTGGAGATAAGAGTCTTAAAGAGTTTCTTGCCTGGGCGGCTTTGAACCACGGTCCTCATATATTAGTCTCCAGAGTAGCTACGGTTACAGGTGTGAGGACTGGTACTCAATGCTTTTCACTTTAGTTATATTTTTTCAGGTAAGGTCTCACATTTTTGCCCTGGCTGGCCTCAAACCATGATCTTCGTATCTTCACTTCCCAAGTAGTGAGGAGTGCAGATATGACCCACCTTACCCAGAAAACTCTGTCAATTTTTTAGTGAGAAGACATTGTGTTAGTCTGGTAAGTGTCAGTCTAAGAAGATGAGTGACACAAGGACAGCAGCTTTTTTCCAGGTAGTGCTTCTAAAAACACAGTTGCAAGGGGCGCACTGCTCCATGCTGAGAAGAGAGGCAGCATCCTGGACTTAAAGGAGGGCTTCCAGACATGCCAAATACCTACCTTTGATCAAAGGAGTCTTAACTAACCCTTATAGGGAATGAAAATAAACTTGGGTGGAATGTGAAGTCACTGACTTGTGAAGGTGTAATCTGAGTCTACTGAACACGTAGTCACTCTGCCTTCCAGACCTCAGGTTTAGCTACTCAGAGACTTACCCTGGGAACATCTTCTAGCAGATCCATAAAGGAGCTGATGTTGACCACTCCGAGGTCATCAGGGTCAAATACCTGCCGTAGTTCTTTGAATTCTGTGTCACTTAATTTTACAACCATGCAGTCAAGGATGTAGCGCAAGTCTTCCCACTTTATCTGTCCATCAGGTGTCTGAGTATGAGAGTATACATCAGGGAATGTAAAAAAAAAAAAGACAAAAAGGGAAGGAAATGGAGGGAGGAAGGGTGAACAAATGTAGTTATGATATTCAATATATACAATATAAAAAATGAACTATGCAATTTGTGGGCAAGGACAGGAGGGGAAAACTGGGGGAAAGCAAAGGGAGGAATGACATGGTCCAAAAAGAACTCATTACCTGATTTATGGAATGGTAACCCCTCTGTACAACACCTTAATAACAACAATAAAATTACATTTTGAAAAGGAAGGAAAAGTATTCTGTATTTAACATCATTCAGAAGGGCAAGCTTTGGTCAGAGTTAGGATCTGAACTGTGAATACGTCAGCTGATGATATTATTAGCCATCAGATCACACATTTGCCAAGAGCAGCAGGGAAATACTGGTAAAACACTCTCACATAACTACAAAATTCTCTACCAAGACGTGGGCCTGGTGAAGAATAAGGCCCACTTCTGGGGAGCAGGCCAAACCTCCCCTCCAGAGTGAACTGCCACCACCCCAGGACCTCCCAGGTGGTGCAGAACTTCCCGGCAGTCCCATTACAACCTGCCAAGTTACTAAGAATATTAATAATGGCTGCTTTCGGCCTCACCAAACTCATCAATTACATAAATGCACAATTACTTAGTGAGAAAAGTATCAGCCTGAAGTATCAGGCTGAATAAAGAAAACATGAGCAAACTACTCTGACAAATTTCTCCCCCAGACTAAAAAATGGTCAATAAGTAAATTAAATATGAAAATTGAGAGTGTCTGTTTACTGGAAAGACAGAGGAAATAAAGAACTCCTTCCTCACAGAGACACTGAATATTAACACACTGACAGCCTATTAAGTGGTTAAAAAAAAAGTACACAAATGTCAACTATTCACTTCAGGCCTCAAAGTTGAAAAAAGAAACAAGATTCTCTGGGCTGGGTTAAGTTAAATTAGGGAATATCTGTGTGCTTATTTTAGAATGTGAATAAACTGTTAGATGTCCAACAGTAATCAATAAGAGCTAATTAAAAAATTTTTTTTGGTAAATTGTAGGGCTTGAACTCAGGGCCTGGGCTCTGTCCCTGAGCTCTTGTTGCTTAAGACTAGCATTCTACCACTTTGAGCCAAAGCTCCACTTCTGGTTTTCTGGTGTTTAATTGGAGATAAGATGCTCATGGACTTTCCGGTCTGGGGCTAGCTTTGAACTGTGATCCGCAGCTCTCAGCCTTCAGAGTAGCTAGGATTACTGGCGTGAACCACCAGTACCTGGCTTAAGATATTTTTGGAAAAAGTTCAGCAGTGGGTCACCACTGGGACAACATTTAAGCGCACCCAGGAGCATTCCCTTCCCATGTCATCCAGGACTTAAGGACATGCCTCAATGACTCCTTTTGGCTGTGTATTTCATGGACACAGGATCACACACTGAATCTGTGGTGTCCTGTAGCTGGCTTCCTTGATGTGGTGACATTTCTGGGGTCCATCCATGCTGTAGCATGTCTCTATATTTGACTTTTATTTATTCATTGATCTATATTTTATGTTTTCCTGACGATTATTACCTCTGATCATTTGCACTTTGTAAATGACGACTAAAGTAGCTTTGACTATCTGCACACAGTCTGCATAGACATGTTTTTCCTTCTCTCGAGCAGGCAGCTACTTGTAGAGTTGCTGAGTCATGTGCTAAATTGTTTAATTTTTCCAGAAATGACACTGTTGGGTTTTTTTTTTTTTTGCATAATGGCTGAACTATTTTCCATTTCCACCCACAGTGTGTGGAGCAGCTTTTGGGTTACAGCCTTTCCAGTGAGTGAAACGTGGCATTGAAGCAGGGTAGCTGAGGGACTGGCGAAGTAGAAATCAAAGCTAGCCAGAAATCTGGAGCTCAGACGGCAAAATTGCTAGGACTGTAAGGTTAAACACTGAGCTGGAAATAAAGAAAAAGTATACATGAGTTTTCCCTGCACATCCCTCCCTGTTGGTTACAGTGTTAGAATTGTCCTCTAAAGTATCTCTGGCCTTGCCCCAGGACTCTTTCCATAAAGTGTCCCTTATATCACAGACCCTTGGTTAGTAAAATTCACCCAGAACCAGGCTCATCTAAACAGCTGGAAGCTATCATGAACCTAACACAAAGAAACGACTCTTCTAGAGGAACCTACTAAGCTAATAATGCATGCAGCCCAGTGGAAGAAATCCATACCCTGTTCTCCAAGATCGCAGGATGACAAAGCCCTATCTCACTGGGCTTTCTGTTTGCATTTCTCTAATAACTAATGGTGCCAAGCATCTTTTCATGTGTTTATTGGCTAGTTTGGATGTTCTGTGTGAGCTTTGAATTTTAAATGAATTTTAAGATCATTGTATCAATTGCAAAATAATACCCCAGTTGGGATTTTGATTATATTTTCATTGCACACAGAGATGACTTTGGAGAGAGTCTCCATCTTAATGATACTGAGTGCTGCAGCCATGAATCTGAATTGTCTCTTCACTTATTTGGGTACCCTGTCATTTCTTTGAGAAGTATTTGTAATTTTGGGTGCAAAACTCTAACACTTTTGTTAACTTGATGCATAGGCATTTTATTCTTTTCGTTTGATGCTACTATGAATGAGACTAGTAATCTCTGTTTATAATTCTATAATCTCTTCTGTTTTGGAAGCTGATGTTCAGGCTGTTCATTGTTATTTGTAGAAATCCAACTAACTTTTGTATATTGATTTTTATTCAGCAACCTTCATGAGTTCTATTAGTTTTTGTTCTCCCCCTTCTTTCTCTCCCCGCCCCCCTCCTCTGTCCCTGTGTGTGTATGCATGAGATCACTCTGTGTTTGGGATCAGGGAATGAGATCGGATATTTTCCTTCTTCCTATATTTTCTGACTGCTTATGAGAGTTGATGTTTACTTTTTCTTTTTCTTTTTTGTCAGTCACAGGGCCTGAACTCTGGACCTGGGGGCTGTCCCTCAGCTCTTCAGCTCAAGGCTAGTGCTCTACCACTTGAGCCAAAGTGCTACTTATGGCTTTTTCTGCTTATGTGGTGCTGAGGAATCAAGCCCAGGGCCTCATGCATGCAAGGCAAGCACTCTACCACTGAGCCACCTTCCCAGCCCCAAGAGTTGATATGTCTAGAAGCAATTTGTATAGTCTTTACTGTAGAGTATTTGCATGTTTTTATTAGGTATACTTTCAGCTATTTGACATTTTTTGAGATTTATTAGCAATGATATTTTGAAATTCTTGTTTTTCTAATTGTATCTGGCAGTTTATAACTTCTAATATTAATTCTAACATTTGGGATTTTCTATTTTGTGAAGTCATGTCAGCTGCAAGAGTAGGAGCAGGTGAGCTGGTGGTGGGCACACTACTTGTGGGAGGGGGAGGTGTGCCCTGGGTGGCAGGATGCTTCCCCTTACTGTAAAAGGCAGTGTCTGGAGGCTGCCATACAGCAAGTGGGATGCGTGACACAGAGGACCTAACTACCGCACACAGGCCGCCCTAGAGCCAGAGAGGGGCCACATTCCCACAGACGCCCCTCAGCCCAAATTCATGCCTAGTCATGTCTATGCCTGCCTCCTCCTCCCTCTGCTCGCCTTACCTTCTCCTTTCCATGGCCTAGAAATGGCCAATAAACAGGTGAACAGTGGTGAGGCAGGGTAGCATCGCTGACAAACTACACACCATGCAACTACGTGACATTCGAGTGTCACTGCCTCTGTGGGAGGTGGCTGTCTTCTTATTACCTATCTGTGTGAGCCTGATGGCCCAGTGCAGGGCCTGGGACGGGAGGAGGGACTAAGTCCAGACTCTTGGCCCTCATGATGCATTTGTGGCCGTCTTGTTCAATGGGACGGCAATGGCTTATGTTGTTCAATATTAGGAATGATTAGCATTGGGCCATTCTCCCCAAAAGGAAATGAAGACTCCATATGCTTACTTAAATTACTGTGGGAATCTGAGTTGAGAGGGGAAACGACCACTTCCTTCATCTTCCCGGGTGGCTTAGCCAGCATTCTCCAGCAATTCTACCAGTGCTAGGAGAGCCTGATTGGAGCTGGGAGTTTGGCTCCCCACCGACTGCCTCAAGCTGGTTACTTGGCCCCATGGAGATGATGAGAAGCTCTACTTCCTAAAGGTGGACACGGGTCACTAAAGGCAGGGCTGCCCAGGCCACTCAATGGTAGCATTCACTCAGAGAGGCCAATGCTACAGCTCTAAAGATAAAAGCAGTCTCCCTTTACTGAGGGGTCACTTCCTGTAGTATCAAGTACATTAGTCACCTACGGTCAATACTGTACAGGACAACCAAACATTTTGACAGAGACAGACAGACAGAGACAAAGAGACAGAGAGAGTGAAGCTGTGCACAGGTACACAGGCACACAGCTTTTATACGTATGTGGTTACAGTGGTTCTATCTCATTGCTACTCACTATTCATCTTTTACGGTGCCTGATTTATCAGCTGCATCTCATCGTGGTGATGAGGATACAGGGAAAATGGAATGAGCAACCCGTGCTGCCTCATATCACTCAGCCAATGACAGGCCCAGCTACAGCGCTGACAGCCAGGGGTGGGGCAGGCCTTCACAAAACAGTCCGTTCTCAGAACGTTAAATAACCCCTGACTGTAAGGTTCACTACTGCTCATGCTTCCAGGTATCCAGTGGGGATTCCTGGGTTGTATCCTGAATGAATCAAAGAAGCTTCCCTAGTTAAAATAGGTATGTTTGCAGGAACACAGCACTCCACACCTGAATCCATAAGAACTGCAGTCTCCCCAGAGTGTGCCTGGAGCTCCGGACATGCCCTTGGGCCACAGGCTTGGGAAGTTGGGGCTAAGGCTGAATAACTCCCCTGGTGGTAAACCTTGTGTACTTGGTCCTATTCTAGTCTGAGCAGAAGTACTTTCCCAGTCCTCAGTGTTTCCTAGATTCCTCTCGAGGATATGCTCAGGAAACAACTAGCCTGGAGGAAGTGGCTACAGATCAGGAGAATCCAAATTCCCCTCCCTGAGAGAGACATGATGGGAGCCAGTGCCTAATGCTGACAGCGAGAAAAAGCAAATTGCGAAGCCAGGGATTCGTTTCCCCTTTGCAACACAATTAAGTAAGGTAAAAATGGTATTTTGAAAGGAAGAAAATGTTCCTGCTATGAGATACAAGTGGGTTATGAACTGTTAATTCTGCATTGGAGTGGAGATTGCCCTTCTAGTCTGAGTGTTTTGCTAATTACACAGGGAATGATGGCTATAGCCACTTCATTGTGATAGTCTTGCCCCCCATTGGCCTCATGGTATCCATATTTATCTTACTGCATTGCAATTCGTTTTACATCAGCCTAGACTCTGCCTTTAAGATCAGGGCTCAGAACAATCCCCAATATCAAACAGGAGCTCAAGAACTATCTGTTGGCTGGTGAGTGGGTGAGAAGAGAGGTTTATTGGCCTCACTTTGAGTGTCCGCTTTCTTACTAACAATGACTTTTTCAATAGGGGAAGGGGAGGGTTGCAAAATCTTACAGTGTTGCTTTTCAGTAATGCTTTCTTCAACGATATAGAACGGTCTTCTGAGTATTTAAATAACTTTCTGATAATATTTTCCTTGCGAAATCGGCTTTGAGGGCTGACACTACAAAAGGATGGGGAGAAAAGCAGGAATGAGATGAGGCTCTTGTACTTGGTTCTTTCTCAGTGTCATCAATAAGCAGCCTCGCAACAGCAGCAGTCTGTCCCTGTGGGTGGCTCTTTCTCTGGGATGCTAATGTGCCATGTGAGTCTGTTCTTCCGGTAACTGGGTGACAGCTAGGAGGGAGGCCACAGGTGCCACGCCCACTGGCATCTATCAGCTCAACCATCTTGCCTACACTGCCCGCTGTGACCCAAAACCATAGCTCCTTGGCCATCAAATCTGATTTTTGATTTGAAAAAATGAAAAAGTACAGGACAGCGAGCAGAGATGACCCCCGAGGCCCCCTGTGTAGGGAGCACTGTGTGGCACACCCGCCCCGCATGGAAACTAGCAGGGGAGGGGATGGCCTTCCACAGCCCTCCCCCCCCCCCCAGACTTCCAGTGACCACCTGACCCTCTTTTTCCTTCTTGTCTAGGGGCTCAGGCCCCTCATCCTTGTGCACTCTAGGAGCCCACGGTCAGCCATTCTAGACATCACATCCAACTTCAGTAGGCTCCGAGTCTCCTAACACAATCCCATGCGCTGCCTCCCTTTCCTCAGCGCTGAGGCGGGATGAGCAGAGGATGGGTGCTGTTCCTGCTGCATCCTCACAGCCATCTCGGCTTTTCCCAATTGTGCATGAACAGGGAAACACAGCTCGTACCACTTTTCAGAAACACACGCTAGCTCTGAGTCTGTGTCCCTCCTGTCCCTCCACTGAGCTTCGTTTTTCTTTTTTTTCTTTTTTTTGGTCGGTTGTGGGGCTTGAACTCTGGGCCTGGGCACTGTCCCTCAGCTCTTCAGCTCAAGACTAGCGCTCTACCACCTGAGCTACAGCGCCACTTGCAGTTTTCTGGTGGTTTATTGGAGATAAGAGTTTCACGGACTTTCCTGCCCAGGCTGGCTTTGAACCACGATCTTCAGATCTCAGCCTCCTAAGTAGCTAGGATGACAGGCGTGAGCCACCGGCGCCTGACTTGGGCTTCATTTTTCTAGAGATCGCTGACACTGGCAGTGGCACTAGCCAGGGTTCTTTATGCAGGACACGACCAGAAGTCCTCAGCTGTGGAGTCACTACAGGATGGCTACTGTCTCCAGCCTCCTCCCTCCCTGCCTCAGGAGCTAACCACCTCCATAGCCATCATCATGATGTGATATTACCAAGCGTCTTGTGGGTGGTGAGACAGCTCCCTGTTGAGAGCCACTAATTTTGCACAAATAAAACTTTGATTTAAATTCTGACAGCCTTTAGACAAGGTGCTGTCAGACAAGTACAGTGCTGGGAAATGAGTGATTCACTTGAGACAGACTCAAAGAGTATCTCAGCCCTGCACCTTGCAGGAGTGGCTGGAGGGCAGGTTAGCATATATGGTTCTTAAGTACACACACATAATGATATATGTGTGCACACAATCTCACAGGAATACACTCCGGGCTCAGGGCAGGGCGGGCCTCCACCACGCTGAGCATGCAGTCTCTCCCTGCCTGGAAATTGGACCGGAAATGGCAGCAGCCTTACAGCTGAAAGCAATTTGAAGGAAGAAAAATAGGTGAAAAATAATCTGCAAACTTTAAATCATTATGTGAAAGTTGGAAGTTATTCAATGGAAACAAATTGATCATTCAATAAATAAAAAAATGTAATTCAGAAAGTCCCTAACTTTAAAAATATTGTGATTTTCATGACTCAAATGCAGAGGTTCTGCCAGGCACTGGTGGCTCACATCTGTAATCCTAGCTACTCAAGATAGGCTGAGATCCAAGGATTATGGTTCATAACCAGTCCAGGTGAAGAATCTGTGACATTCTTATCTGTAGTTAACCTCCAAAATCCTGGAAGTGGAACTGTGGCTCAAGCAGTAGAGCTTTAGCCTTGAGTGAAAAAACTAAGCAAGAACATGAGGCCCTGAGTTCAGTTCCCTATACTGGCATAAATAAATAATAAATTAAGCTAAATTAAGATAGAAGACTTTGGGATTTTTTTACATACCCATTTCTTCTTTGTGAGGGAGGTGCATTACTGGTTTCCAACCTCTGCTGCTCATAAAATGATGTTAAAAATTGCTTCCAATTGATCTTAGCAGTAGTTCTAAATCCAAGCCTGGATGAAAAGAAAACAAACAAATATTACTGTAAGTACTCCCCCCATAATACCACATAGATTAGATGCTTAATACTGGATCAAAAATGGCAGCAATGAATTCATATGAAGTTTCAAATCTAAGTTAAAATCATTTTGTAAAATAGCCACACAAATTGATTTTTTAAGCAAGGGGAGAAAAATCAAACATTATACACCTGTGTCTATCTGTTCGTACATTCATAAACTGAAGGTCAAAGTTCTAATGTACATTAAATGACTTTTCAAACTCGGTATTTGAAGAGCTGACAGCATGTTCAACAGAGCAGTGGTCATAAGATGTCCACATCCTGGGCCCCGGACCCCGTGGACACCTTCCCTTGTCCCCAGCAAAGGGGACTCTGTAGATGTGACTACAGATAGACCTTGGGGTGGAAGAGCGTCCTGGGTGATCACAGCAGGCCCTGATGAGTGACATGAGTTCTTAAAAGTAGAGAAAGCTAGCCAGGTGCCGGTGGCTCATGCCTATAATCCTAGCTGAGATCTGAGGATCGCGGTTCAAAGCCAGCCCGGGCAGGAAAGTCCGTGAAACTCTTATCTCCAATAAACCGCTAGAAAACCGGAAGTGGCATTGTAGTTCAAGTGGTAGAGCGTTCGCCTTGTGCTGAAGAGCTGAGGCACGGCACTCAGGCCGAGTTCAAGCCCCACAACCAACAAAAAAAAAAAAAAGGAGAGAAAACCAGAAAACAATGTGATGTTGATGGCTTTGGAAGGGGCTGTGAGCCAAAGAATGCACGTGCCTAGGACTGGCAAGAAAGGGAGTGGCTCCAAGAGCCCAGTGGGGGCCCCGCCCCCACCTGTGGCAGGCTCCACAGGTGTGAATAACTGACACCGACTGAAGACACTGGATGCAGGCACCCTCTATAGTGGCAATTGAAGACGAGTGTAGTCCTCAAGTCCTGGCAAGAACACATACTTGGAAAATTGCTCAAAAACTTATTTCCAAAGTTCGTATGATCCTGTGACTTGGGGCCCAGTAGTTGTGGAGTTCAAGAGGCCGGTGGAAACACGCTGGTGTGGACATGGGCCAGCGTGCGAGTCTCTCCCTGTGCCTCCCTGCGCTTCTCCTCGGCTTCTCTGCTCTCCTCGGCTAGAAACGGAGAGCTGAACTATCCAAGGATGGATCTGACAAGGGGAAACGTAACAGATAAAAACCTCGGCTGTGAGCTGCCCGGCATGTATCAATCCCACACTGGGTCCACCACTCACACACCAGGTGCCGCCACCAGAGAGAAGTTTCAGCAACATCACAGTGAGCATGCGACAGGCTGTAGTGCTCTGGTCACTGGATCTAGTGCCTGGGCAAGAATGGGGCAGTGAACTCTTTACCTACAAGTGGGCAACTAATAGTCCAGAATATGGGGTGAGGGAGGTTAAAAGGGGGACACTTGGGGATAAAATCTTCGGTATTCTGTGAACCCAAATTCTTCTGGGCAATAATAAACATAAGCAATAAAGATGGCTATCATTAATCAAAAGGAAATGCAAATTTCCCTACAGGCATCGGCTTTGTTACCTGTTGGTAGTAGGATTACAAATTGGTTAGGTTATTGGGAAAACAGATTGGGAGAATTGTATTTTTCATACAGTTAACTAGACAAGCCGGCAGTTTTCCTACTAGACATTGCCCTGAGAAATGAAAACAGAAGTCCGTGCAGACTTGTCTGTGAAGGTGCCCACCACAGCTCCCACAATGGCCTGCACCTGAGGACCACCCAACCACCCCCTACTGGTGAGGGCCGAGTGAGCGCAGTCCATCCCCACCACAGGTACGCAGCAGCAGACACTAGTGGGGTGCTGGGGTGTGCAACAACGCGCCAAGTCTTAAAATGATGGTAAGTGATTGCAGTGGAACATAGAACATGGCATACTGCATGACTCTTCAGGAAGACTCCCAGAAATCCCGGCGCTGGTGGCTCGTGCCTGTCATCCTAGCTACTCAGGAGGCTGCAATCTGAGGATCGCAGTCCAAAGCCAGTCTGAACAGAAAAGTCCCTAAGACTTTTACCTCCAAGTAATCAGCAAAAAGCTGGAAGTTGAGCTGTGGCTTAAGTAGTAGGGTGCCAGTCTTGAGGGAAAAAGTAAAGTGAGAGGCCTCATTACAGGCACAACCCAACCCAAACAAGAAACAACAACAAAAATAATAAACTCCCAGAAAGGGTAAAATTACAGTGACAGTGACAAGTGGCTGAAGAGTCTGTGGAGGGGAGCAGGAGGGAGGAGGGCTGGTAGCATAGGAGCGATGATTAAGTGCTCTCCATCGTGACTAGGTAGTGGTTATACAAATGCACACAATTCTAGAATTTACTAAGCTACATACTTAAGAATGGCATTTTATTAAAAATTATATTTCAGTAAAGGTAGTTTTTCAAAAGTTAGACAGAAAATGGACAAAGGATATAAACAGAAGGGTTGTGGTTTTTTTTTTTTTTTTTTTTTTTTTACAGAGGGAGTACATAAAACTTTTAAGCATGAAACACACAATGAAAATAGTAATCAAATCCAAACAGCACGAAAATGCTCTCACCTATCAGATTAGCAAGGATTTTCAATGGCAGCGTTAAATATGGCATGAGGAGCCTCCCTCCTAAGAATAAATTAGCACCTTTCAGAAGTGCATCTCAGCAAATGGAACATCACCCTTAAAGATGTCCAAACCCTTGACTCGAGGATTGACAAAACACCGTGCAGCCATTCAAAAATCAGTGTCAAAAGTGTTTTAGTGACATAAAAAGGCTCCTCATACAACATTCTGTGAGAAAACACAACATACTGATACCCCGCCTGGTCTGAAATATGGGAAGTGCTCACGTGAACATGCGAACATTCACACACAAAAGAAATTCTGCAGGGAAACATCAAAACCTCACCAGCAGCTAGTTCTGTCTATTACAATGCTGGGTAATTCTTTATGGTTCCTCTTAATTTCCATTTTGAGCATGCCTGGTGTTAATAATCAACACAAATAAAAATCCATTTTAAAAAACAGCTCGTACTTTTACTAGCGAGGTAGCAACTATTGCTTGGCTAAAACCATAAAGGCCCTGCCGACTGTCACTCCCAGCAATGCCCGATGGCTCTGGCAGCTGTCCTCTGGCCTCTGATGGTAGAAGCCAAACACAATGTGGGATCCAGGTAGAGACTTTTGGCAGCAGGAGATCCCATCACAGAGAGGAATGCATCAAAGTCCCATCGCTCAACAGACAGCCACTGTGGAGCACAGGAGCAAGGAGTCACAGAGGCAGAGACGAGTCCACAGGTCACTGGGACCCAAGAAGGCTCCCAAGGAGAGCAAGGTGAGGATCTGGGGTAGAAGCGGGAGGGAACGGCAGTGGCAGGAGACCAGAGGAACATATGAAAAGGGAATGAATGGGACACGGTTGGCTGGCACCTTCCTCTGTCCCATCGCAGAAGCTCACAGCCCGTACCTCACTTCCCTTCTCCAGGCAGCTCCACGCAGCTGGCCTGACGCCACAGCTGTGCTGGTCCATTTTTGTCTCTGGCCTGGACTTCCGGAGCTTCCTGCGTGCAGCCCCCTCTGCCGCACTACAACACGCGGGTTCTGTTCTAACAGGCATGCGAGTGCAGAACTGTCCTGCAGCCTCTTCTACCCCGACCTTCAACTGCACCAAGCTCCTCCTACTGAAGGCCAAGTTCATTTCCCTGAGGTCCAACAGGACAAGGCCAGCTCCAGAATATAGAATGGAAATACAGATCCCTGCTCCCCTCGGACCCCTCACGCTACTTCTCTGGACAGATCTCCCTAAGCCAATACAGACTGGAGCTGCCACCAAAGAGAAGAGGGCTGCTCTCATATCCCACATTTCCACGGCAGTCACCTGGTTTAGGCCAATGATGGCATTGTTAATGTTAATAAAGTGACAAGGCCAAGCACACATGCAAATCCACACTGCCCCCAGTCTGCTGTACAGTTGCCGGCAGAGCAAAGCCTGGCTTTGCAGTTCCCGACGGCAGTTTCCCTCCCCAGGGCTGGGAGCCCCGTGTACCTTCACACAGCCTTATCTTGGGGCTCTGCATTCTGTGGGAGTAAAATGGGAAGGAACTGTACTCAAGGCTTGTCCACAGGAAGTCCCACCTACAGCTAGTTATGTGCACAGGATGAGTGTACCCACTTCAAGGGGCCATTATACTGGTTACCATAGTCTACCAGCTTCCTTCTAGTTTGAAGGGAGGAACAAGTATCTGGAGGCCACCATTCTGAAAGTCACTGGGGACCAAGGACTCCGAGGCCCATTGGTTGGGATGGCCCCTCCAAAGTGAAAGTCTGGGCCTGTGACAGATCACAAAAGAGTAGAGGCCATTCTTGGAGGTCCCTGATCTGAGAGACACTGGGTCCTGAAACTCTGCTCCACTTCAGGGCCCCCATAGGCACCACTGAGCCTACCATGGTTCTGTGGAAATGGTCGGTATGCAGGCAGGCCCAAGCTGGTTGGGAAGAGAGAGAAAGTGCCGAACAGGGGCTGAGTCCTCCATTATCTCACCCTCCCCTACACCCATGACCTGGGGGAGGGAACGGTTTGGGCCTGGCTGGCAGGTGGGCTGTGGGACACACTGCAGCATAGCAAAGAGCTCACCATCGCCACAGCCCTGTCCAGGCAGCCTGAGAGACTAGCAGGCCTCCAGGTAGACTGGTGGGTCAGTCCATGTGTGCCGATGGACAGATGGATTGTGAACCCACAAAGAATGAGCCTCAAATGGGGAGACAACAGAGAGGCCTAGAAAAGAGGCGCCGATGGGCCTTGGAAACAAGCACTGCTGTAGAGATGTGGGTGTCCCAGAGAAGCGCCACTGGCAGATGCCATGGAAGGAGCTCCCACCAGAGAGGAGGGCAGAGGCCCATCCTGAGGTGGCCCTGCGCAGGCTCCCACTGGAAGGAGGGCAGAGGTCCCATTCTGAGGACGCCTTAAGTAGGAATTAATGAAAATAGAGTACATTTGATT